GAGGTTTTGAAGTGGCCACGGTGTGCAATATAATTAGTTACTTTGAGGTGACAGATTTGTTAGAATTCGTAAAACTGGTTCCAACTGTGAAAATGCAGTAAATAGTACTACCCACAGAAGTATGTCTACATGTGCACTGAAATATTTAAAAGACCAAGCCTTTGATCCTAATTTTACAAAACTCCCCTTTCCTCCTTCCAGCTGGAACCACTTCCCACCATGCCTCCCAGCTCTGACAGTATCCAGCAGGACACGCTCTTCTCTCAGATGTGGCATTCTCAAGAAGTGCTATTAAATAGAAATTGCTTACAAAGAAGCAATTAATATTTATAGAAAACTAGGAACTACCTAAAAATTCTACAGATGTGTCTATTCTACAATTGTGTCTATTTTATCATCTTGCCCTGATAGATAAAAATAGGAATGACAATATCTAGAGTGTCCCTTCCATTAGTCAAACTATGGTGATGAGTAATGCAGCCAAATGAATGTCAGTAAAGCCCACCTACCACATCATGCTTCAGAAACTCTCTTGGCGCTCTTTTTAGGAGAGAAGCCAACAAAAGCATAAAGGTTTAATCTGCGTGTATTTGAAATTACTGTATTATTTGTGAGGCAAAGATTCAAATAAGATGTATTAGTTGCTCCAAACATGTCTCAGTAAACACTATCTCTGCCTGTATTTCACAGATTACCCTCTAAGAAAAAAAAAACAACAAAACAAAACCAAAGCCCCCAAGTATCATAGAAAATTTGATGAATGTTACGCTTTCAATTTGAGAAATCAGGTTGGTTTAGTACCAAAGGCCCAAATATACTAGTCAAAGACAAAAAGAACCCCAACAAACTTGCATGAGTGTCCTTCTGAAAGCTTGAGTAATCAGCCTTTAATACAGTGCAGTGCTGTTGTGCCATGACTGTGTTTCCCACTCCTGCATCTCAGGCCAGTCTAGTTCTGGACCAAAACTCTTTTTCCAGCATGCAGAGAAAGTATTTTTGGGCTGGATTATTGGTGGTGTCTTAGGTTCTTTATTATAGTAGCTATTTGAAACTTTATGAGGTTTTAAGCCTGAGAGCAAGTGCCAGAGCTGACGTACCAACAAACAGTTACAAATTAGATAAAGTGGTGAAGACTTTTTACTATATCAGTGTACAGAGCCACACAAAGGAATCTTTTCTCTAATTTTGTGGCTTTTTATTTCTGATGTTAATACTACGCACCAACGAAGATGGAGAAGCTGGTGCGTAAAGTTGTGTTTTAAGCAAAGGTACACTTGCAACAAAAACTAGTGATTTCCCTTAAAATAAGGGGCACTTAAATAGTAGTGCATTGACATTCTTGTGACACTAACCTTAAATCTCTTGCCCAAAGCAAATAAGGAGGTTCACTTGCTTTTTTAAACGTGGATGTGGAAAACAATATATTCCTGATCAAGAAGGGGAAAAAAATTACTAAGTAATCCCAGGGCTCCAAGGAGCTAGCTTAATGTCAAGATGTAATCTGGTGATTACGTAATAATTTCCCCTCTCTGCCCATTCCAGAGTGCATATGAGATATTACAGCCTACGTGCCTGGTCTTGAATGTTTAGTTCCAGGTGTGAGAGCTCATTGCAATATACCCTTCCAGAGAAAACAGAAGTCATATGGAGAAAGGACTAATGTACATGTCATTCTGGGAGAGACAGGTCCTAATTCAAAGAATAGGCAACAGAAGGTGTTGTGTTACCCCACTCAGGGTTAGGCTCTAGGAGCTATGTGGGAGTTGGCAGACACAATTAACAAGCCTGAAATAACAATTGTCTTGAGAGCCAGCAAGAAGTAAAAAGCAGGGGAGCGGCCCTCAAGTAGGAAAAGTAAAATAACTGCAACAACAGGAGGATAAATCCAATCCCACATAAAAACACCGATAATCCATCTGAGACCTGGACATGAATTTGACACACTAATATTAAGGAACACAGGCCACAGGAGACACTCTAAATTACAAGATTGGAAAGCTTCATGGAAGAAAATCAGTGACAGCGTTTGCTGTGGAATGCCTGCCAGCTCCTGCTGCACACAGTGGTCAGAAGGGGACTTCATAAAGAGTCAACATTCATGTCTATCAACATGTGGAGGAAAAAAAGGAAAGTCCAAGCACGCTGTTATTTTGTCCACTGCAAGTCCATTGAAGCACTGACATGGTGGCCTACTGCCTTTGCAAATCCTGGCTACACATAACTTCCTAATAGACCTAAAAATGACTGATATATCACAGTATAGACAGACAGATTTTACAAACTGATATCTAGGATAGTCCCAGACAGATAAAACTTGCATGCAAAGCAAGTCTGACATGTCAGATTCACAGCATATGCAATATTGTCGCACTGTTCATGCTCAGAGAAGTTGCACAGTAAGTACCAGTCTGGCATCAACACTTCTCGCACATTCATGTTTTATCTGCCCATACAGGGAAGTCTGAGCTCTCCCACTACATGGCATCCTGCACATCCAGAAAGGCATCCATGGCAACAGAAATACAGGCAAAACCATGCCATGTATGCTCTTCGATGAGAAATTACATTGACCACGTAATAACAGGCATTAAACAGGACGTTCTGTACCACATGGGATTCTCAGCACTTTCTGACATTTATCTCTGTGACCACACCATGCTGTGATTGCCCAGGAGAGTGCAAAGGTTGACATTGGTGTATGTACATGAATTTGGTGGACAGAAGACACAGTGTGATTACCTAATATTTAATTAGGTTGCAACCACAGCGCTACTGCCCTTATCCTTGCCATGTGAGCTCATCTACAAGGCAACATGATGACCCCACTGAAGCTTTGGGACAGTAACCCCTGAGACATGACAATACTGTTCACCCCATACCACAAGGATTCTTCTGGGAATTGTGTTTATAATCACAGCAAAATTAAAGTTGCAGGTCACTGATTTAACCTTCTACTCCAAACAGGGCTATCTTGAAAGCTAAATTAGGTTGCTTAAACTCTTGTCCAACCTAGTTTTATGTTCATGGATAGAAAGTTCACAGCCATTCTGGGCAAGTGTTCCACTACTTGATGACTCTCACTTTGAACTTTTGTTTACTTATACACAATTGGAATATCTCTGGGTGCAACTTCTCGCTTTTGTCTGTCGTCCTGTTGGTGCTCATCTCAGAGAGAAGCCTTGTGCCATCTTCCCTATAATTCCCCTTGGGAAGGTGAACACTGTAATTAGATCCTGATGTAGCCAAACCCACTTCCTCATACAGGACGTGCTCCAGCCCCAACCACCTCAACAACCTCCACTGACCTGGCTGCTGCTGGAGGAGCCCAAGCTGGACAGTGGGTATCCAGTGCGCCCTCACAGTGCTGCACAAAGGGCATGTACCTGCTGGATATATCCATAATGCAGCCCTCTAGGTGCCATGGCCAGGAACTTTTCTGCTGGGCTATTCCCAAAATAGTTGGTTTTCAGCCTGTTCTACAAGGATAGTGTGTCCCACATTCAGGACTTTGGACTTGGCTCTGTTGACCAACACAAGGCTCTCACTGGCCCACTCCTGCAGCTTGTCAAGGCTACTCTGAATGGCGTCTGTGGCCTCCAGTATATCAACTGATACCCCCAGCTTGCTATGGAGATGAGCTGAAAACTTGCTGAGGGTGCATTCTGTCCCATCCCCACTGACTGGGGATTTTATCAAACAGGATTTGCTCCAGGATGGATCCCTAATCCCTCCCAACTGGGCATCAGTCAAACTTCAAACCAATGAGACACTACCCTTCAATCCTGGTGGTAAAGCCAGTTTTTCACACACATAGTCTGCCCACCCCTTCCACATCTCCCCAGCTATAAGGTTATTGAGGAAGCCTACCAAAAGCATTAATAAAGACAAGTTTAAATGGCATACTCTGCTTTCCCCTTGATCACTAAGCTCAAAATCAGTGACATAGAGTCAGACACAACTGAACTTTAAGGTGTAACATTTTGCTTTTCTTCAGTCATCTACAGTCTTCTAACCAGCATGGCATTTCAAATGACACAGGGGGTGAGCACACAGTAACACTGACCAGCTCCCTCAACACTCATATGCAGGCCATCTGGTCCAGGGGACTTGTATATTCCCAGCTTGATACAGTGGACCTTTTGTGGGTAGTCTCCTTCCCACTCCAGATCCTGCATAAGCCACAGAAGCTTGGGAGATGTGGAAAGCCCAAGCCCAGTAAAACCCAAGGTGAAGGAGTCCTTCAGCCTTTTCCTTGACCTTTATTGGTAGTTCAGTGACCCAGTTCTGCAGAAGGCCCACATTTTCCCTTCTCTTCCTTTTGCTGCTAACTCACCCGTGAAAGCTCTTTTTCTTGCCCTTCATGTTGGCTCTCAGTTGCAACTCCAGACAAGTTTTTGCTTTCCATATTCCACTTCTCTACTTTAAAGTACCAACCATCCTGTGCATGAAGTGATAGAATCTCAGACCAGCGTAATTTGCTGATTATCTGGTGAATGCTTTCTAGAAATGCTGTTTAAGGAAGGTAGTTGTCTTTCATCCATATCTCATCTTTTGGAAGTTGCATCCAGGTGCCTGCTCAAGCATTTATTTAGCTGGTACTGCGGAAAATGCCATTGTTCTAAATTATTCTTTCTTCCTTTGTTCTTTGTTGTTAGTTGGTTTGTTTCCAGTAACCTCAAATTTGGTGCAGAAGCATAGGAAAAGGATACACACATACATACCCGATAGGAGGGAATCAAATGACTAATTACCTTCATCATGCAGCTTTGCCTGCTAAACCATCTCTCCAGGACTTTCTCTAATATTTTGTAATATTTCAGCTCTACTGAAGCAGCCTCATACGGTTATTATCAAATAACCCAAGCCCTTAAAGAGAGTATCTTCCTATTATTCAGAATCTGGACTTTCTGACCCATCCTCCTCTAGGGCAAAATGGTGAAGAAGAAAAAAAAAAAAAAGAGAGAGAGAGAGATAAATTAGTTTAAGTTTTATTAGTTCTAGTCAGGCCATAAATGACAAATTGAAGGGTTTTTTTCTTTTTTAACATTCCAAACCTGGAAAATAGAAGTGTTTCTTGCTGTTCAAACATTTGTATTTAGTCTAGAATGTTCCAAGACATTTTTCTTACACTGAAAGATATCACTCGTTCAACATGTTCTACATTGGTCAGTTCACTGGTTGTTTTTGATAAGGAGTGATGGGTCTCTTCAGTTTTCTAAACTGCCAAAATAACTAAGAAATGTTTCTGCAGCATTTTTCAATTAAAGATGTGGCTGTCTACTATAGGAAGTTGTTTGAATTACAATTATGTCAGAATTGTACACATTCTGAATAGTTATGTATTATGCCTCTACTTCAGTAACTTGGATGATATTACAACAACTGTATTTAAGTTTGCCAAAATTCATCTTTAAAATTCGTCTTCTGAGTGTTTTTAAGTTTGTCACCTGTTATAGCTGAATTGTTCCATTTATTCTCTACTTTTGGGAAACTCTGAAGATGCCTAAATATGACAAATGCATACTTATGTTATTATAATAGAGTCATCTGTCACAAGTGTATTTACCAGTTCATTTGTCTAATTGCTCAAAAAGCCGCACACTTATTTGGATTATTAAATCTGCCTTCTCTCATACGTGTGTGGAATAGAATCAGGATCCAAATCAGGGCTCAGCTGATAGAAGACTGACAAAGCATGGTGCCATTACCCCTTTCCCGATTCTCTATTTCCTTACAGCAGCATAGGGAGTCTGCTAGCCACACACCTGTCTCTCAAGATCCCCTCCTGGTGACTAGGAAAAGCCTGGAAGAAAAAGCTCTTCCCTATGACTAGGAAAGCCATAGGTGACGAAGGAGGACAGGAGCAGAAACTCCTCCGGGAACTTTACACACACGGGCTAGGATCTGGCTGAGGCATGCTCTTCACACGTGGGATTCTGAATCATTCCCCTTCTACACCTTTATGTCACCTGGGATCCCAAGAAACTTTCAGATGTCTCATCCAGCTCTCCCTGGCATAGGAATCATAGAATCATAGAATTAACTGGGTTGGAAGAGACCTCCGAGATCATCAACCCTTGATCCAACCCCACTGTGATTACCAGATCATGGCACTCAGTGCCACATCCAGCGTCATCTTAAAAACCTCCAGGGATGTGAATCCACCACCTCTCTGGGCAAGCCAGGGTCTGTACCATCCCAACCATACTGAGTTTCTTCCTCCAGCTCTTTGTGTTTGTGCTGGGATATCTCCTCCCACAAGGATGGAGAATATGTATGTGAGGGGTGGGGTGAGGGGAGAGAACTTTCAATACAATTAACCTCTTAAAGGTTATCTTTTAGGTTCTTTTCAGTCCCAAGCACTACTCTTACTCCTTGAGAGCATTTAATTGAAATGAGAGAGGGAAACTGCAACCCTCTGAGACCCTTTTCTACCACAGCTGGGTATACAGGGCCACTTGCCCATACACATTGCCCACCTACAAGAAAGGGATTCTGCATTTCTTGTATCACAGACATACTCTACACAGATTCACCAAGACAGGCACTAGTGTGTGGGAGCAGGAGGGCACATGCAGGTAGCAAAAGCAGTGACTAACTAGGGAAGGCCAGGCTCTCCAGGCAGTGTGAGAGCAGTGTGGCAGGGCCAGCAGCTGGAGGGACAGTGGCACCAACTGGTACAGCAGGAAGGGGGTTCTACCTCCCCATTCCACCGCAAACACTGTGGCACAGGGCAGTAAAGGATGATGAGCAACTTTACCTTCCTGAAACCTAGTCTTGATCTTTTCACTTTCAGGTGCCTTCACATGGTCTGTGCTGCTCTCTGTACTGTTCCTGTCATCTTTACCCAAACTTTTGAATAACAGATTCAGTGATGAAGGAGGACTGAGGAAGAACTCAGAAATGCTGAAAAGACAAAGCAGTAGGGATGAGGGGATAAACAGTAGTGGTGAAGTGGCTAAAACACAAGCATTGTCTTCTCCAGCGATGGCGGGTGAACTAAAGAACACAAAATCAACATTTTCCTCTCCAGAAGATCAATGTTGAATTTAATGCCACAGCCGCATTTAATGCTACAGGCAGAGGTCAACAACAAAGATCTTTCCAACCTCTCCCTCTGGTGTAAGAGTGCTTTGGCTGTTATCAACCAAATACCTTCTAAGGCCTCCAGACAGAACCAAGGTATCTATTTCAACTGGCCAGGCCTCCACGTGGTCTCATCTCCTTCTCTGGTTTCAATTCTTTCATGAATTTTGTCCCTTCACAGACCTCTCCACTGGTCTTGGGCCCGCAGTCTCCCTCAGTCAGACTTCTGCGGAGTTCCACTCAAAGGAAAACACTATTGTCCAAACTTCCTCGTTTAACCTAAGTTGGTGCTCCTAAAACCTCAAAAAAAAGCCTCTGAAGGGGAAGATGATTAGATGTTAATCTCAGCTTTCATTGAGAAAAAAAAAGTTTTGTTATTTCCCTTTGGGATTTGGAGAAAAGCTTGAGCATACCAAAGATAAAAATTACAGGCTCTAAACCAAGTAACATACAATGTATTATTTCAAGATGCTATTCTTAAAGATGAAGACTTCACTCATCTCACGAATTTTGACCAGAGGCTTGGCTCAGGATTTGAGTTTGCCTTCCATTACACAGGAAGGACAGCAAGGAGACCTCAGTGCAGAGACTGGGACCCCAAAATTCCCAGTGCCTTCCAACAGCCTGTCCTGACAAATTTGCCCCAACTCGCAACATTTCTGAAAGATCTACAGCAAACCTGCCATTTACCCCCTCTTTCCATGCCCGTGCATGCAGTGACTGCAACAGACAAGATCAACAGTGGGTCTGAAAACCTCCAGTAACCAACCTGGGCAATGCCAGGATGTGATTTTGTTGAGCATTTCCTTTTTTTTTTTAAAAAACGCAAACACAGAACCTTGAGCTGGAAGGGACCCCAAAGATCATCTAGTCCCAACCCCCTCTGCCAGGGGCTGGGGCACCTCCCACTTGACTCGTCTGCTCAAGGCCTTATCCAAGCTGGCTTTGAACACTGCCAGAGCTGGGGCACCCACAACCTTCCTGGGCAACCCGTGCCAGTGTCTCACCACCCTCACAGTAAAGAATTCCTTAAGAACACCTAACCTAAATTTCCTCTCCTTCAATTTGTACCCACTTGTCCCCGTCCAAATTGCACCGGGAAATCACCCGACGCCGGGGAAGTGCCCGGTCACCCGCACCGGGTGTGACAGGCACGGCCGGTCCCACCGGGACACGTCGGGGCTGTGGGCGCCCCCCGCGCCCCCTGCCCGCCCGCCTTCGCCCCTCTCCCGCCCCACCCAGGGCCGCCGGGCGCGGGGACACGCCGGGCACAAGCCCGGGACCCCCGGGACCCCCTCGGGCACGACGCCCACGACCCGCACAGGCGCCGGGAGACCCCGGGCGGGCGGGCGGCCACCCGGGCGCTGCCGGCGGGGCGTCCCCGTGCCCCCGGGGAGCCGCCCCGCCGCCGCCCCCCGGCAGCCGTGGGGCCGTGCCCACCGCGGCCCCGGGCGGCGGAAGTGTGTGTAGGGGGCAGTGCAGGAATTTCCTGTGACGTCCCGGCCCGGACTCCATTAGGTGCATCTGGGCTGAGAGGAGACAAACCCGGCGGGCAGCGAGCGGAGCGGGCCGGGCGCCTGGGGCTGCCGGGCGGGGGCTCAGGGCAGCGGCGGCCGCCATCGCCAGAGGGAGCCCCGAGCGGGCGGCGGCGCTGCCTCCGGGACCCCCGGCGGGCGCAGGGCCCCGCTCCGCCTCCCCTCGCCCCCGCCGCCTCCCCTCCTCGCCCCCCCGGCTTCCCACCACGGCCGCTCTCGGCGAGGAAACTCTGGCCTCCGCTTCCTCCTCCTCCGACTCGGACACCGGCGGAGCCTCCCCGCCCCCGCGGAAGAAAGCCCGGGCCTCCCCGGCGGCGGCGGTGGAGGGAGCAGGAGAGCCCGGGGCGTCCGCGGGCAGAGCAGGCCTCACCTCGTCCCAGTCCCCCTCGCTGCCCGCCGGGCTCGCCCCCGCCGCCGCCCCGCTCAGAGGCAGTAGCAGCAGCAGCGGCGGCATCGCCAGCAGCGCCATGCAGGCCAACGGGGCGGGAGGGGGCCAGCAGCAGCCGCCGCCGCAGGGCCCGGAGCTGGGCTGCCTGGGCGCCCAGAACGGCGAGGCCTCGGCGGGCACGGCCGCCGGCGACCAGCTGGCCCACGCCAACGGGCTGCTGCCCTCGGCCAACAGCGGCGGCCCCGGCGGCGGCAGCCCCGGCGGGCTCGGCGTTAACAACGGGGTGCCCGCCGCCGGGGGGCCCGGCCCCGCCGCCGCCGAGCTGGGGGGGAGCGGCGGCGGCGGCAGCGCCCTGAAGAAGAAGAAGCGGCTCTCGCAGTCCGACGAGGACGTGATCCGGCTGATCGGGCAGCACCTGCACGGGCTGGGGCTCAAGTAAGTGGCCGCGGTGGGCGAGGGGCAGCGCGGCCGGGGCGGCGAGAGGGGAGGCTCCTTCCGTCCTTCCTTCCTTGGCCGGGGCGCCCCGACCGACCGAAGGGTCCCCTCGGGGCCGGGAGAATCCCGCACGCACACCCCCCCCCGTCCCCTCACCGTGTTCGCGGGGAGGGTCCCCGCGGAGGATGGGCTGGCCGGAGCAGGGGCGAGGGGAGGGAAAAGAAACCTCCGGAGCGGGGCTTGGTGGCCAGAAGTGCCCTGTCGCAGCCTGGTAGTCCCCAAAGAGGGGAGAGCAGTTCCCGGGGTGAGACAGAGCCGTGGGGCAGGCCCGCTCCTGGAAAAAAATGGAGCCGGAGATGTGTTTTCCGAGCCTGGGCCGGTGTCTTTGCTAAGGGACAGGCCGGGAGCTTCCCCTGCCAGGAATGGCAATATGGAAGTCGAGTTGCACACCGATAAGGGTAGATCAATACGAATGTGTCAGTGGGGAGAAGTTATCTGGTAAACATAATGGAGCCCGCAGCTGGGCGTGGGGGGGCGGCTTTTCGCAGATGAGCTCCAAGATTTGGCTTGTCAGCTCGCAGGAAGCGAGCATAAAGTAAACTGCCACTTAAAGAGGCTGTTTGGTCTCACTCTGAAAACCTTTGGCCCTGTAAATGGTGAAGGCCTCTGTAGATTTTTGCTGGACACGTGTTCGTGGTAATAATCTCACTTGTAAACAACAAACGAATATGTTGGCCCTTTCTTGAAGTCAGAATAGGGAAAATAATTTCCCAGTGGAGTAGGGGAAGTCTTAAGTTTTTAATCACAACACTCACTTTGTGAGTAAAACTAAAGCTAGTGTGTCATAATTTTGGAAGGAGGCTAGAGAAGTGCTGTAAAGTGTTTATGTAACTACCACAAAAGAAGTCTTCAAAACACTGTGAAATGGATCAGCTATAAAGAACTTATAACATAAATAAATTGCCTCTGACACAAGAGGCAAGTTTACAGCAGCAGACAACTCGTGACTATTCATAGACGACACCACAGTAAATAGGCTATTTTTAGTATAAAAGGGGGAGGGCTACAGGTTCATGAGTTTGTTTATTTTTTAGTAAGGAGCCAGTCTTTTAAGATGTGAGGAAGAAGAAAAAATTAGGCCTGTCACTTTCTGTGTTCTTTTATTGGGGGGGAGGCAGGGAGGGGGCCAGGGATAGCAGCCAGTAGCTAACAGCTTTCTAGTCTGTGTCTTCCTTCATGAAGTTTATCTTCTGTGCAGGGATGGCTGTTTGTGGTGGCTGGTAAGTCACAGACTTCATGGTACTTCAGCGAAGCTTTCAAGCTCATTGACAACTTGCTTTAGGTAGAGGTAGCTGTTTATGTGTCTCAGGCAACTGAGATCCTCTTTCTGAACAAGCATCTGAATCTGGTCATAGTATTCTTGTTTTCTTAAATTTACTTTAAAATATGGTAAACTGTTATCATGGCAGGCGGTGTATTTGTGAGGGTAAAACTGGTCGGGTTTTTTTACACTGTATCTCTCCTGCAGCCAGACTGTTGATCTCCTCATGCAAGAGTCAGGATGTCGTTTAGAACATCCTTCTGCTACCAAATTCCGCAATCATGTCATGGAAGGAGAATGGGATAAGGTAACGTAGGGCTTATAGGACTGTATTAACCACTGTTTAAATTTATAGTATCTGTGAGAGAATTCAAAATCCACCCTCCTTATATACTCTTTTTTTTCTTATGCCGATTTCTGCAGGCTGAGAACGACCTGAATGAACTTAAGGCCTTAGTGCATTCTCCGCATGCAATTGTGGTAAGAGGCACACTTGAACTCTTTCAGAGCTGTGTAGTTGAACTAATTGTAGTGGTGTAATCTTTCACTATGGAGTTGGTTGTCCATAGTTCTTGTTTTCTTTTTGTTTACTTTAAGCTGCTTGCATGCTATCTCAAACGTCATACTAATCTGAACTTTTTTATTCTGTTTTAGAACGTGAGATAGGCAGCCCAAAAGTATTGGGGCTAAGATTTAGTGTACTGAATGTTTAAACTCTCTTAAACATACCTAACTGATAAAATAGAAATCCTGTCACTGTCCTAAAATAGGTCAGTTTCTGTAGAAACTGCCTATGTTGAATACTAATTTGAATACTTGAGATACTTCTCACAGTCTTAGTGTTTATAGGAGTTAAGTTTTCTTGGGGGAAGAGAAGTTCAGAAATAAAATGCAGTAATACTAATGTGGAGTTGGCTTTGTAATAGCACATTACAAGAATATGGAGGCTGCTATAGACCATGAACAATACTGTTGCTTTTCCAGATGGCTTTTAAAGAGCAAATGCATTTGTATTGCTGTTTGGGATTTTATTTAGAGCTTTTTCTCTTTGGCTGGCTTTTTTTTTTCTTTTTTTAAAAAAGATAAACCTAGAAATAGAAGGTTGGTAGATCCTGTGACTTGACAATTACAATATGTGTTGTTATGATTTCAGTTGCTTTGAGTGAAGTGTTTCTTGTTTTGATTTTTGTATCTCAAGATGAAAATCATTACTTGGCTCTTCAGACAGCTTGTTCTGTTGTGTTTAAACGTTTATTTTAATGAAATGAAGTTAGAACAGCTAAGGTCACTTAGGAAGAGAACAGTAGCAAGGCTTTTTGAAGTGTCTGTGACTGTAAACAATGAGGAATCAGCTGATGGCTGCTTAGTTCCACTTCTAGCTGATTCATTTGTTGTCAAGACAATTTCCTGTCTGGTGGGGGAGGGAGAGAAAGAGAGAACAGGAAGTGAAGTAGGAAAACAGATGTTTAACAAAACATTAGAGGGTACTTGACAGAAGTTTGCACTCTTTTCTATTAATTCAGTCAAAGCTTAGCACCTCCTAATTAGACCAGTACTTTCTCTTTTCTCAGACTTGAGGTAGTTCAGAATATTTCGTGCAGCTTTCAGTCATTTGTGCAGACTGAAATTATGAAACTGCTGTACGTGAATATGAATGGTCATTTGAAACAGATTTTCTCCTGTTTCTGATGTGTGAAGCTGTGAAGTTTATGCAGTAGTATTAGTGTTTTGCATGTCTGTCAGTCAAGGTTTAGCTGAGCATCAGCACTGTACTTTTTGGATAACTGAATCTGAGGAAAAAGGGGATGTTTTCCTTCTGTTGTTTTGGAGGGCTCTGAAAGTGTGCTCTTCTTTAATGTTGATGCCTAATTGCTTCCAGAAAACTTGATGCAATAAAAATACTTGGTTTAGACTGAACTTTACCTGAACCAAATATCAACTGGTTGATTTTTTTTTCTACATTGTTCTCCTTTATATAAACTTCATATAATTTAAAACAGGTAACAGTTTTAAATGTCTTACATGTGTGTATGTTTAGTAAGACAACGTGATTTGCAAGGTTAAGTTGAGCTCGTGTGCATTCCATTGCGTGCACTCTTGTCTCTGCCTCCCTCCCTGTCCAGCTTTTCTGTACGTGGTTGAGGTTTGGGGTGGGTATTAGTGTAATCAGCAGCTGGAAGACTAATGAAAGACCCTTAGGTAAGGTAAGGAGGGATGCTTTGTGCTCTGTAGGTAATCCCAACGCAGTCAAGCCAGAGCTAATGAAGGTGATAAATGTGTTGATCAGGGAAAGTGCAAGCAAGATGCTGCTGCAGGTAACTCTTAAATAGAAAAGTAGATTTTGTGTTTCCTGACTCCTGACTTGTGACTCACGCTGTATGACTAGATGTTTCAAAAATGTGTGTGTACAAGAAGAATGGGTGCCTAAAAGTTTAGATGACACAGAGTACTTAACAAAGTAGGGTGTGTGTTTTGTGGTTTGTTTTTGGTTTGTGGTTTGGTTGGCCTTTTTTTCCCCTTATGGTTAATATGACCTGGACAAAGTGACCAGGATAAATAGCTGCTTTTGAAAGGTCTGGTCGCTGAAGGGGATACGTGTGTATTTTAAAAATTCCACTCGCGTTTAATTTTATTATTTCTGCAGAGTACTCTTAAGTTCTACAGGTAAAAACACTAAACGTGAAATGGCTGATCTCAGTTTTTAAACCTTTGAAACAGTGTGTTGATATGTGGGGTGTGTGGTAGCACACAGGACAGTTTTCTATTTCTATTTGTGTCAACACAACTGAGTGTTGTTATATAGTATGTGATTAGTCATGTTTACTTTTCCAGTATATAAGATACAGATGTCTTGAGACAATCTGTAGGAAAACTTTGGTTGGATCAAGCATGATGTTTTTCCTTGAGTAACGCTTAGAAAATGTCAACTTCGAGCCAGCCTGAGGTTTTGCTTGTTTTAGGGCTACTCAAACATATTATGGCATCTATCTTGGGTAACTAATTCAACCTACGGAAGAAACCTGGAGGTTATTCCTTTACAGTCATCTAGAATGTACCTTCAAACTGTCTTCTTTGCTTTTTCTGGAGGTATACAGTCTGCAGCAACCAATACAATAAAAAATGTGATTTATGTATTGTTTGAGCAAAGTGCTCCACCTGCCTGTATGGTGTCCCTCTTGCTACAAGCCTTAAGGGCAGTTCCCTATTGGAATTACTCACTTTCCATGTGGCAGGACTTGGTATGGTTGAAGCCTTGTTAAATTCCTTTCTGTATTCTGTAGACCAGAATATTTTCTGCCCTTTACATATCAAATCTTACATTTAAGTTTTGGTTTGGCTTTAAGTGCTTTCATCAGTGTTTTAGAAGACTGTCAACGTAAAAGGCTACAGGATAATGAAAATTGAGGTCTTAGTTCTGCAGGCTGTAAGTAGATAGCTATTGTGTTTGTTTTGAAACAGCAGCTGATAATTTCAGCATGTCTTTTAGTTACCTGTTTAACTTCAAAGAACAGTTGTTTCAGCAATGTTTACTCACTTGCTTTGGACTCTTAGTACGGTAATAAAACTGTAGTGAAGTTGTTAAAATATGCAGGTCAAAAATAACACCAAAATCTAATCCTAAACTTAGGTTATTACGCATTTTGATCATTAAACTTCTGAAGTCTCGCTACTGTAACCAGTGATCAAAATGGCCTTATTTCTTGACTGTGGTAGTGTGCTTGTCCTGTTATCTTCCAACTGTGTTTGCTGAGGTTTTCACCTTTGGTTACCTAGTGCTGGTGAATTGTGGTGCATGCCAGACTTCCTAGAATTTAACATTCTGGAAGGGGTTTTCCTACTAACAGTTCGGAAAATGAAGGAGTGCAGTACTAAGTATTCCTATTAGTAATCAAAGGCTACAGTTTGAAGAAAGATGCTAATAATACATAGATTAAAACAAACACACACCGCCCCCCTACCCCCCTTCCCCCCCGTAAATCTGTTAGCTCTGTCTCGGTTTTGCCCCAGGGTAATCAGAGTTCAACCTACACTTATATACTATCTTGTCTAAACAACAAAGTAATGCACTTTATCCTCATCCTCTCTTAGATTTGAAATGCAGGATGAGGTAATAATAACTGAGCAAAACCAGCCAGACTGCAGTGCTGAAGCTGTTGTATGGACTCTTCCATGAGTCCTTCAAGGTGAAGAGTCTTTGCTGTAAGCTAAGCCATGCTGGTGTCCAAATTTAAATTGTTCAGTAGTAAAGACTGTAATGGTGTTGAATTTCCATTGCAAACACTGAGATGATAATGGTACGATTTTGATTATGATAATCTTGATTCCCTTTCTTTGTAAGGAACTAGAGAATATGGAGAAAGAATGAGCTGCTCTTGTGAATGCATTGCAGCAGATGAGTTTTATACTCATTCTGTTCCACGTAATTAGCAGAGTTTGTGCTTTTTACAGTTGCAGATTTTATAAACAAGTGAGAAAGTGGTGTTGGGAAGAAATTAACAATACTATTAGTCGGGCATAAAGTAGTTGAGAGAAAATAAGGATAAAATTCAGTTGTTCAGTGAACTCTTCATCAGTAAAGTCACTAGTTGCACAAAAAGAAGTAGGAGGCAGTGAGTGTCCTGAGTTAAAAAATGACTTGAAATTTGGTGTCACTGGAGTGTGACTTCTGCCTTAAGGAAATTCGTGCCATTGTTTGAGCATGCTGTAGGGCAAGTTTGGGAGCAGTTATCCAAATAGCTTAGCAAATCAATTTAATTTTCCTATCAACACTTTATTGCCTGCCTTTTGCTGTAAATAAATTACAATTTCAAACTACTTATCTTTTATTCTAATTCACTGTTATGGTAACAGTAGATTCCTGCATGAAGTGTGTAGTACTGTGTTGTTCTGGAGGCCTTTATACTCTTGAAATGCTGAGGTCATATATAGCATTGACTTTTTTTTTTTTTTTAAACTATATTTTCTAACCCAAAACTGAAATTACACCTCTTTGGATAACTTGGCAACAGTATTCTGCACGGTAGTATTCCATGGAGTTGTTGGGACTGGTGTTATAAACCCTATGTTTTGGTGTTTTCTGCTCTTTTTACTTTTTCCTCTAACAAAATGAAATTAATGTGCCAAGTCCTAAAAGCAGGGAGGGAGAAAGAGTAATTAGATACAGATAAGGTAGGTTATCGTGTTTAATGGCAATATTATATAAATTTAATAAATATTATATACAGTGAATGGAGAAGGAAGAGGTGGAGGGATTATAGTTTTTATTACAGACTGGAAATGTCAGGCTACTTTTTATCTGGTGTTGATCATCAGCGTGAGGTGACCAAGAGGAGTGAAATATAGTCTGGAACTGCTACCTGAGCATCTCCAGGCATCCTAGTGAGCATGTACACAGCTGGTAGAGGAAACTCTTATCCCTCCTGCTGCTGGTAGATAAGCAAACAGCGTGAGGTCTGCTGACCTACTGCATGGAGCCAACCACTGAGGTTGTAAATAATTGGGATATCTTTCTTTTGATTTTTCACGTGTCAGAACATCAAAAAGTGTTGTCTCACCTGGAAAAACTGTACAGTGGTGGTCTAACAATTCCAAATTCAAATAAACTAAAGAGCTGGATAGGGAGAGTAATATGGGTTTGCCTGTCATGTACAGGACAGCAGAGCACTACAGACGTGTTTGAACATAAATCATTTTTATTGTGACATGTTTTATTCTTCACAAAGCTGTGTGGTAAGTTAATAGCATTGTATGTGGAAACTTCCTTCTTTTGAAGAGCTGTGGAAACGAAAATGCTTTATGTTTCCACTTTGGATTTTACATCTAGTAAGGCTTAGTTTCATGTGAGCTCTAATAGGACAGGAACATCTTAAACTTCCCAATTATCCTCTGCTGAAGGAGGCTGGCAGTGTGTTTGAAACTAAGTAAACATTGACCAAATATGAGCATGAAAATAGTGAGGTGCCTGAGGTCTGATGAAAGCAAAGGAAACTGGTGATTGAACTGGTGGTGTATTCATTAGAAAAGTGAATGTGATTTGCTACACATAATCTCCAAGCTGTTTGTCACCAAGATGTCTAAGCCACATGCATTTTCCTCTTTTAACCTGGTGAGTTTTGTGGACCAGAAATGTCATTTCTGTCTGATAATGGCTAGCAGTAAAGAACATGTGCAAACACAGGATAGTTGGTTTCATCCAGGAACAACCAAACTGTGTTTCTACTAAATTACTGTTAGAAATTTCTAGGACTTTTTTTTTATATATATAGTAATTTAATACCTGATTTTCCTTTTTTTTTTTAATCCACAGATATTTGTTGTTAAAATAGTAGGCTTGATTATTTTTTCTGAAACAGAAAACAACCAAAAACTGTGCAAGGTGAAAGGAACGCTATGAAATAACAGTGATTAAATTCAGAGAGGTGAAGTGATTCCTAAATATAGAAAACTATACTTTTTTCTGTAATCCTGAAAACACCACCCAAGGAAAACAACTCAAGGTAGAACTACAAAACAAAACCTCAGGCAGTGTCAATTTGTTATTGCTATATGTTATGCAGCTATGCAAACAATCCTTGTCTGCTCCTATGTAAGCAGTGTGAGAACTTGTTGAGTTGGCCTTTTGTGTTCTGTGCTGTTATACAGTCTTAAATATGTTGAATAGCTGATTTTGGGCACTTCCTTGACTGAACCTTATGTTGGAAAGCCTGTCTAATTCAGGGTTTGAAGAATGATGGCTAAAAAGAGCAAGTAAAAATGAGACAAGTTGTAGGGGGGATCTGAGGAATGAGATAAAAATATGCTTAGAGCCCCATTGGCCAGGAAGGAAATTCACGGGTAACTTAATTGCTGCAATGTTGTTGAAAACCCAGCAAAAGAAATTGAGTAATGAAACGTTACATAGAGCTGTATTTCTGAAGGGCATAGTAGAATGGTTTCTACTGTTCTGTTTAGGCTCAAACGTTTTCTGAAACTTCAGTCAACCTTTTTCCCCTGACTGCTGCTTTCTGTCATGTCAGAGGATGAAGTTTTTGCTGCTGCAGCAGAAGTACCTGGAATACCTGGAGGATGGCAAGGTCCTGGAGGCACTTCAGGTTCTACGCTGTGAACTGACGCCTCTGAAATATAATACAGAACGCATTCATGTCCTCAGTGGGTAAGTGTTTGGACTTTGAGAGCCCTTGCAGTGAAGTTTTCTGAGGAATTCTGTGGCTTTTGATAGCTGACGTTGAGAAGGCTCAAGCTGTGTTAAAGCTATTATCCTGTTGATTAATAAGCTGTGGTGAGATGTGATAAAATGCTGAGTAAAGAATACTATTCAGTAGGCAGTGTTCTGTTTCAGATGCTTGAAAACAACCTGATGATTATTTACTTTTGTACTACTAGAACCCAAATGAATACATACCTATGGATGGTCATCTGATCTTGAGAATTATTAGCCAACTACCTTATAATTGAATTAAGTAGGTGGATATAATCTGGTTTGTTCTTAGACGAAAAGAAGTTATTTCTACTTTCTCTGAAATCGCTTGTGTTTTGTTTTCTTTTTCTGTGGCAAATTTGTAGACATTTGTTCTAAAGGTGTGTTTTCCTGTGAAATAGTTTCCTCCCCCTTTTCCTATCAGTCTCAAGCTTAAATCACCTGTTTCCAGTTTCATTAAGAATGTGATGATCTATATCATGCTCAGAAGTGAAAAGAATGATTCCAGAAAGACTTGGTCTGTTGGTGTGTGTGCACTTTTTTTAAACAGGTACCTGATGTGTAGCCATGCAGATGACTTGCGTGCAAAAGCAGAGTGGGAAGGGAAAGGAACAGCTTCCAGATCTAAACTTTTGGACAAACTCCAGAGTAAGATGTTCTAGTGTTTAGCATTTCTTCTCACCTCTGTAAATCCCATATATCTTACATATCTCAGGGAATTGACTTTACCTGTGTTTGCTGGTTGTTTGCTTTTCTGGTATTTCTTGGTTAGTGGGGATGCCTTTAGGTGCCTTTACCCTTTGGTCTTCTGTACCTAACCTTTTGCTGTCTCTGATAAACTATTTGCAATAGAAACTCTTATTTCTTAACCTCTGCTGCATGCAGTGACGGTATAACTTACTGATTAAATGTGTGGTTCGGGGAGGGGTGTGTGTGTATATGTTACAAATGCCTGCTGTAGTGAGAGGTGAAGACTTAAGTGTGGCCTAAAACCACTAGTGATACTAGTATTGGTTGATAGTGGTCTCATACTTCATTATGAAATACAGTTTCTCCTTTCTCTTTCTTGTGGCTGTTGTAATACTATATATGTATATCAGAGTTGTAAACCCCATGGTATTCTTTGTTTTCATAGTGTTAATAGGTAATTCCTTAAGTGAACGCTGCTGATATTGGTGCTTTATGATTTTACTGAGGTTTTTAAATACCGAGGTAGCTTGTGTAAATGGTGCTTGTTGACCGCGACAACATGTTCTGTAACTGCAAACACCTTGCATACAGCTCTGCTTTCCAGGAGTTCATGCTTCCAATTCCAGGTGTATAGCTGTAAATTTAACAAGCTGTGTACTTTATCTACTAAGGTCTCTTCCAAAAACACTCAAATCAAAGTATGCTCTTAGTTGTAACTTGCTTTTGATAAGTCTTTTTTTTTTTTTTTTTTATGTGATTGATTGTCCTTCATAACTCCCCTACAGCCTACCTACCCCCGTCAGTGATGCTTCCTCCAAGGCGTTTACAGAACCTGCTCCGTCAGGCTGTGGAACTACAACGGGACCGGTGCCTATATCATAATACGAAACTAGATAGTAATCTAGATTCTGTCTCGCTGCTAATAGATCACGTTTGTAGTAGGTAAGAAACCCTTGTGACTTCTAAGATGGGCAGCAGTATCTTTTCTTTGTCTTTTAAAGTAATCTGATTGTACCTACTCTTAGCAGGAACACGAGAACTATTCTGAGCTGGTTTAACAGGATTTTACTGGGAAGGGACAGTTTTCATTACAGGAGTGGTGGAGGTGGGGAGTAGAGAAGGTGTGTGTGAGAAATTTTGGTACCTGAACATGGAGTAGTGGGGTCAGACTAAAGCTTTAAAATTTTAATCAGATGGGTATGAATAGAAGATAGTACTAGGCTAATCCTTAGCCACCTGTTTCTTGTCATTTTGGACAACCAGTCTATTTATGCATCAACATATGATTGCTGTGTTTTTTCACTGGAGAATCACTAGTAAGTTATTTATCCAGACTCTGTCTTCAAGATTACTGGAATGCAGAAAGCCTGTAGAAGCATACTTTTATGAAATCAGCTTTCAGCTATAACTTTTAATAGGGGACACAGGTGCTTTTACACACAAAGGTTAAAGCAGAGGAGAAATGTGCAATAGATGTTTCTAATTTGCGCAATATAAAGAACTATTTTCTCAGAATTGTGAAGTAGTAAGAATTGAATGTCTCTTACACATTTCTATTGGCTCTTTAGACTATCTGGGTAACGTTTTTTCTGTTAACAAAAGGGAGTCTGCTTCTGAACCTTCAAAATGCTGTACTGTAGTAGACATGAAGCAGGAGGATGTTTGTTTTTAACAAATGGCTGATCTGAGCAGTTTTTCTTCACCCAGCAAAACTCTGCTAAGGACCTAAAAACTCAGTGTAGCTTTTATGGGAAACTGCTGTGCATGCTGCAATGAGGGAATGAAGGGCAGAACACCTAGAAAGTGAGCTTGTATAGGATACTCTTTTATGTTTGTTCATGTAATAGGCTAACACTTGGGCTTACAGGGAAATTGTTTTCATGTTAAGGTTGGCTCATCTGATGAAGCTAATTAAGAACTGATAAACTTGGCTGCTTTGACTTACATTCTTGTGTTTCTTGGAAACTCTTTTTAAAGATGCAAACTTCCATAGCACTTCACTGTAGCCATCTTAAGGTTTTAAAATTATTATCTTTGGCACTTCATGTATTCATGTAAATCTTTTAGCTTGCAGTTTTGCTACATTGCATTATTTCAGCAGCTTTGTGTGTATGTGTGTGCAGACGTTTGACTGTTGCCCCTTTTAAGAGCTATTGGAAGTGATCATATACTGGTATTGTGGCTTCAGAAGTGAGTCTTAAAATCAGACTAACAGAGATTTAATTTTAGTCTTTAAACAAGTCCATAAATAGTACTGAGTGTTCTGTAGGGGTTTGATGTGATTAATCAAACCCCAAAGAGCATTCAAGCTGACTGTGAAAAGTGTGGTTTACTGAAGTCGGACTAAGTAGAGCCAGATATAAAAGCTACTGCATGCAACAAATCTGGGCTTAAATTTCACCCATCTGAATCTATTTGCTGACATGAAAGTTTGGCCATAGTTTGGGGTTTTGTTTGTTTGGGTTTTTAACCTAAAGCAGTACTTCCTAAACTTGCATATTTGGTATATATACACATACCTAGATACTCACAATTACTGTAATTAAAAAAACCCACAACCCACCAACAACAAAAACCCCAACAAAAAAAGTGCCCAGAAAGCCCACTTGAAAATAAAGGCTTCCATTCTGTTCTCAACTCAACCTATTGTACCTACCTGTTGCAGGGGTCTGAGTTCAGTGTGTGGTGTGCTGTACGTGCTGCCATGCTTGGGCATATTGAGGTGAGTTAGACAGTGGAAGCCAAATTTTGATGAAGCTGACAGAAGTAACAGTAGTCTAATAGCTTAGACATTTTAAGTCCTGTGCTACTTAAATGATAGAACACTGACAACTTTCCCTTTTTTAGTTGGAACTAATCTGGTTTGGACTTAACGCAGTATTTTGATTAAGCATGCTTGAATTGCACTAATAGGTAAAATGTGTAACTAAAACTTCCTTTGTACAGTGGGAGATGAGAGTGAGAAACTGCTGGGAGTGAAGGCGAAGGATTTCATCTTATTGTGCCTGAGATTTTGATAATAGAGAACTGATGTTCTTGGGGATGGTAATTTTTGATTTTGAGAACTTTCAGCCTTGTTGGGTATTCTGGGATTTTCTTGTTTGTTTTTTTGTTGATGAATAAATCATTCATTGTATGTACAGGGAGTGCAAAGGTAGCTGTTTGGTGATTTACTTGTAATTTTGAACTTGTGTAATACAAGAACAGATAACTTTATTAGATGCTTTATTTCAGTATGTAACATGATTCAGGTTTTTTGTGCTGAACAGAACATTTTGTAATGAAAGACTTCAAAAAAGATAAAGATAAACCTTTGTGCATCTAACTACCAAACCCAGAAACTGTTAGACAACTGGTTGTGGTTTCTTATTTCAAGACTGCTGCTATTTCCTTCTGCAGAAGGGTTATTTAGTGTAGCTGTGCTGTCTTTGAAGTCAGACTTGCTGAGTTGTATGTTCTTCTAGTTAAGAGAACTTTTTGTGGGGATGCTCTGATCTGACTGGGTTGTGAGTAGCATAATGCAGTATTGGGATGTGTCTCCAGCAGCTATACCAACTGTTGCCCTTTTTAGGAACATAAAGGCCATCTTACTATAAGAACTGTGTACTCCAGTATTATAATTGCTTACTTTTCATGTCTGCAAAACCTTGGCTGCTTTTCTTAAGCTTTAAAATGCAAGAGCTGTTGTTCCATAGAGTATGTTTTTAAAATTAAGTGTGCTGAAAAGGCTTTCCTGGGACACAAGTGTGGCCCTTGTACTTTGTATGAGTTACAGTTAAAGACTTGCCTTCTAGAGCAAGTTGTTGCTCTGAGTAAAAACATTAACTTATAATATGGCTAAATAATAATGAAACACTCTTCCTGTAGGTGCTCATGTCTGTGTAAGGGCTTGCCTACTTCCCTGTAGACTTCAAGGAAAACAAAGTCTTCTTTCATGGGTGGGGCTTTTTACCTTGGGTTCAGTGTTCTTCCAGTGGCAACTAGACAGTTCCTGGTCAGCTTAAAGCAGGAGCAGAACACACTTGTGTTTCTCTATAAACAAGTAAGTAGACATACCCAAGGAAGCCAACTGCAGATATGTATATGTACAATTTGTTTATCCCCCCCACCATAAGACAGGAAATAAGACTGGGTGGGTGTTTGGTGCTGCTCGACAGTCTTTAGTCATGGACTAGGAAGCCCCTTCTAGTAAAAAAAAAAAATTACTGAGAAGGTATAGACCTTATATTAAGCAGAACTTTTTCTAGCTTCAGGTAAGAAGTAATTTTTCAGGTGTCTGTCAGACTGGCTACCACCAAACTGTATTTCTAAACACAAATGTGAAGGAAGTAAGTTTTCTGTTCACATGATTTGGGGGGGAGATGCTTGTTTTTCTTCCTTTGGGGAGGGGGGACATGTTGTGTTTCTGTGGGGTTTTTTTAAACCAGTTTATCTCCAGTTAAAGTTACAACTGCACATTCCAGGAGACTGACATTACATTAGTAGCATCCTGTCCCATCAGAGTTGTGTTGCCCTCTTGCACTGGGTGCCGTAAAAACTCAGCCTGAGACTAAATCACTTCAGGATTCCTGGAGTTCAAAAAAATGTCTGTGTGACTATTATTTAGTGCATCTGACCAATGAACTCGCAGTTGTTGCACTATTACATCTGCTGTAAAAGCCTATGTTTTATCTTAGCTCTGAAATACTTAATTGAGAACTCACAGGCAAGATGTAAATGAAATATGTCTCCAGTTTTTGCCTAACTGAATATTTTGACTGTTAGCTTTTTCTCAGTGTGTAACTAGAATATTAAATATTAGCTCTAGAGGAATGTTCTGACTCCTCTTCAGTAGTTTATCATGTAATATTTTGTTTGATAAGCACAACATTTTACAAAATAATGTAGATTTTTGTGAGTTAAACTTTTCAAGCTCAGTAGTATCTTGTTAGTTATGCTTAGATACTGTATGTGGTACTCTGCAAAGAAAGTGAAAAATGGCACAAAGTGAAGGCAAAGAAACGTCTAACTTATTGTGAGGCCACATTCGAGAAGAAAACTCTTATGGAATAATCACTTCTAAAGAGTGGACAAGATACATTAAAGTGAGTTAGATACCTGCAGAGACCTCATGTGTAAATGAAACATTGCACCTAGGGTTTAAAGAGACTTGGACTTCAGTATTTTCTGTACTGGTGCCCTCTTAACGAGGTCCAGTTTCATCCCAAGCTATATGAAAGCATAACAGTTTATGTGAGTGAGATAAGAATAGTTCTGTGTTCTTAGACTTAGTTACAATCACTTGATGGCTACCAGATAAGACACTTCATTCTGTACTTATTTGAAGCAGCTGTTAATAGAGGAATTTTCTGAGTTGTGTGGCCTTACATTTAAATAAGGTGTTTGCTTGGTTGGTTTTGGTTTTTTATTAGCTTGACTTTCAAAAAATGTTTTACCGCTTGCTTATTAATCTGCAAATACCTGCCCTTCTTTTCCCAGGAAACAGTTCCCGTGCTATACACAGCAGATACTAACGGAGCACTGTAATGAAGTGTGGTTCTGCAAGTTCTCCAACGACGGCACTAAACTAGCAACAGGATCTAAGGACACAACTGTTATTATTTGGCAGGTTGATCCAGTAAGTGTGCCAAGTGTTAAAATGTGTGGGACTTGTCTTTCCCCTCGCTCTCAACTTTCTCTTGCTAGGATGAAACCATAGGACACTTGCAGGACAGGCTAACAGGTGCTGTAGCTCCCTTGACTAGGGTATTTTCCTGGGATGTAAAAGCCCAAAGATCCAGATCAGTGTAAATTAGTGAAGGAGGACACTTGTAAACCTGATGGCAGCTTTGGGGCAGGAACTTTGTGTACTCCTAATTGGTACCACAGGGTAGAGCCTGCTGTTGCCCTCCAGGGAAGATTCTCAGCTTGAAGGCCTCAAAGCACTGGTTGAGAGTGGAAGGAGCATGGCAATGAGGAACCTTTCTTCTAAGTCACCCTGAGAGTCCTTCTGTGTTTTGTATGTGACTAACCCCTTTGTTATCTCGCTGCTACTAATACACTTGGTGAAGTCAATAGAGTATTTAAATCCATTTATTACTTTATCCCTGACTAATAAGATGGTATGTGCCTAACTAAAAGTTGTATCAGGATACCACTTTGTGAGACAAAGATCTAAACATGCTGGCATGTGGAAGTATACTCATCCATTTTCTTACAGACTGCAATTGTAGGTTTTGATAATATGTGGCCCTATTTCTCTTAAATCTTGTAGCTGTAGGATATTTTATATGTTTTTCCTACCCATATCTATTCTTACATAATTAAAAAGATTGAGTGACGAATTTAATCTAAGTCTCTTTTAATTGACTCAAAAATGATTATGAAAGTGTATTTCATAACAATTGAAAACCGAATGAACTTGAACACATGCACACAACATTTGAAGTTGCTAATTTTTGGAAAACTATCAGAAATGAGATTCTTACAGTTTTTTAACAACGCATCTGTTCCTGGTATGCAAAATAGAAGACGAAAGGTTTTTTAGATCCATTCTGACTTTCAGTAGGATTTGAGAGCTGAACTTAATTATTCCATTTCAGGTTAGGAGGCCATATAGTCTTATGTCCTTTTTGGTATTAAAATGATGGAAGGACTTAAAACCCTCTCCCATGTGCATAGTTGATATGTAGCCTGTGGACTAACAGCAATGCCATGTTTTTTTCAGGCTTAAGAACTGCTGTGGTTTGTGTGTTACTGGGGGCAGTGTGTGATGGGCCAAGAGCTGCATAGCAGCAGAGCTGAATTCTGTTATTTAGTTGGGAAGTATCAGTATTTTGTTCATTGTTTTTGGTTATTTTTTTTAACAAACAGTAATTCTAAGTAAATTAAGGATCAAGTGTTTTTTGCTGTTAACTTATCACTTGGTTGTAGACACTTGTCTTCCTTTTATATTGATGGGTTTTAATACCAAACATCTTGCTTAGCACATCTTACAGTGGATCGTTAGCTGATATCTGGCTAATAAAAGCAAACAAATATTTTGTGCGTGTTTTTAGGCTAACCTGTTTGAACACGGTTGCTAAAGAAACAAATCTCTTAAATATCTAGTGGGAAAGCAGCTTTATAGTGTTTTATCAGTTTTTCTTCTTTTTTTGAATTCTTTTTTAAAGAAACTGAAACCCTTTCAAGTAGGTGATGTCTAAATAACACTAGGCCATATAACTCAAATGATTCATTTTCATGTTTGCCAGAGCACTCTTCTCACATTTCCTATAGCAGTTGAGAATGTCTTTTGAACTGTAAGTTTAATCAGATTTTCAAGGCTTTAGGTATTTAGATTTATTCTAATCTGCATATATAAACTACATGGAGACATCTATTCAACGCTGTCTGGGTGAGTGATGGGAGAAGACTGTTTTAAATGAACAGTATTTGTTTTTCCACACAGGTCATGTGTATGAGAATCCTTCATTTCTCCCTTTTTTCCATCACCCTTCTTGAAGTGTAATGACACTGCTTCAGTGTGTTTTCTTCATTTCATACCATGAATTTCTTATTTCTTTTCTAAGACACACCTACATGTCTAAAGTATCTTAACCCATGGCTCTATTTCCATTTTCATTTGTGAGTTTCAAAGTTCTTACTCAGACTCAACAGCATTAAATAATGTCTTGAGTGAACTTGGTTTGTGTGTTGATGCATCATTTGACTCTTACGCAGTGTGGCAGAATCTTTAGAGCAAACAGGATAACTACACTTGGTGCATCACCTTGCGTAGTTTGCATCTCTCTTTCTTAGAGTTCTCCTTTAACTTGCTCCTTACAAAAATCTCCTGCACTTTCTGAAAACTGTCGACAGGTTTTTGGCTTTTCAGCCAGGGAGCTCGACTGCAGACCTAAATTGATACCTGAATAATTGTTTCTTACACATAACAAAAATTTGGATGATGTAAGGGATAGAACTTCTGAGATTTCTTTAGGTGGTGGGTGGGAAGCAGATTGATTGCATTTGGGGAATTTTGCCTGAAATTCCAGTGACTGCTGTTTTAGAGCAAAACATGGTATAGCAGTTTTGCTGTATTTAGAGAGAAGTATGAGAGCAGTATGGAAGATAGTAACAGCCACAGAGTTCTGTCATTAGAAGAGGAATATCTCATGTGTCTTGCTCCTAATGAGTTTCAGGTATGCTGAAGGGACTGGCTACTTTAATTCTGTTCTAAGAAGAAACACATTAGTGGCAGGCAAGCTCTAGGATGAGAGATGATGTCAGATATGATTCAGTTTCCGTGTAGATCACTTTAGCTACAGACACAGCTGTGTTTAATGCAGTCCAGGAGTAATGATTAGAATGGAAAAGGGGTCTTGAGGAGGTCCACTCATTTGCCCCTCTTTCTCTGTACTCTGAAGATTATTCTTAGCTTACTTTCTCTTGAGGAATTTGCTTTTTCTAATCAGCAGAACCCTCAAAGCTGCAGGCTGGCTGAGAGTCACCAAATCCCTCACAGCAGATCCCACGAAACAGTCCTTCAGGTCACCCTTCCTCTATTCTTTCTCTTTAGAATCAAAGGTGCTCTGTTGATTAATACTGAAACAAAAGGAAGAGAAGAAACAATTAGAGAAATCAAGTTAGAATTTTTTGAAAAAAATTTGGAGATATAAGCATCTGCCATGCAGGGAAAAAAGCAGGGAAGAGGGAGAACAATTTGATTTCCCTTTTCCAAGAGGCTTCATGAAAATTGTCAGCAGTTTAACAAGCTCTGCTCTACTTTCTGTACGTGCATGTTGTTGTCAGGAGTCAGTGCTAATACTGTATTGAAGTGTGTTTCTGTATTTAGGAAGCCAGTGTGTGGTTGTTTCACAGTATCTCGCTGTACTATTTATTTTTATAAGCTTGTTGAAAGTCATGTTCCTCTAACAAGGCAACAGTAAAACAGTTGTAATATAAAGATTATACAAGATGCTGCATGTGCCAAGTATGCTTCATTCACTAAATCTGGCAGAAAACAGCTTGCTGTAGGCAACACTTTAGGAACACCTCTCAAGGAAGTTTTTAAAAATATCTTTCTGTAAAACTTCTTCCTTGAGCAGCACACACAAGATACGCTCAAGTTTCTAAAAATATTGGCACTTCAAGGTTTTCCTTGTCAGCCTACGTGAAGGTTTTGGTTCTCTGTTTAACCATATGAGTCTTCCAACATGCCTTTTAAGCAAGTAACTTAATTCTGTAAAATACAGGTACTTTCATATTCCAGTAGATGTAGAAAGACTTGACACTACAGAAATCTTGTATACTAAAGCAAGTGAAATGTAATGCAAAATTTGTGTACAGTGGTATTTTGTGAGTCTTGCATTTAGAATCACAGAAGATTAGAACAAAAATTACAAGTGTTCTTGTTTTGCATTTAGAAACTTAGACGCTTTCATTTCCTGTCCCTACTCTGTATGCTGGCACTTGCTCTTCCAGTGGGAGCCTGTTCATGTCTCACAGGTGACAAGTTGCTTAGAGTAAACTTGCCGTGCTGTACTTGGACACACTGGATATGTGAAATTTAGTAGGAGTTCATTTGCATTGTCTCAATAGTATCTCTCTTGTTCCAGGATACTCACCAGCTAAAACTACTTAAGACATTAGAAGGTCATGCATATGGGGTCTCTTACATTGCTTGGAGTCCAGATGACAACTACCTTGTTGCCTGTGGCCCAGATGATTGTTCTGAGCTTTGGCTCTGGAATGTACAAGTAAGTGGTGACTAAGAGGGAAAAATAAAAACGTTGTGGTCAGCCTGCTGCTTTTGTTTCAATATGTGAATACTTTAGGTGTGGAAGAAGTAACTGCTACAAACTCGTGTGAAGATGTTGACTATAAAGGAGAGATGCTGATCTCCCTGTCCCCCTTTGAATTTGAAAAAATAATTATGGCAGCCCACAAAGTCTGTGCTCAGTTTGTACAGAACTGAAATTAGAGTTCAAGTCTAAGTGCCTGGGATTGTGCAGCAGTTCTGGTGCATCTAGTTACGGATCTTTTCTGAGAAGAGATGGTGTAAATGCATAGAACCTTAAAGAGGTTCTGAAGAGAGGGACAGCAAATTAATCAAGAGAAACAGAGGGCAGAAATACCATTGAAGGGAAAGCTCATTGATGATTTTAACAAGTAGCAAAAGTAAGATAGAAGCTATTTTACTTTGTGAAACCCTCCCAGTGATGTTAGTGAAAGATCCACAGAGGCTTAAATTTATGATCTCAGAACTTCATCTTTCAGTCAGACACTAGGGCATTTTGCCATTTCCTTCATGAATTTGGAAATCACTTTCTACTGTTGAATTTTATGGGCACTTGAGTTGATATAAAAGCTTCCCTTGCCTCAGTTGTGAGCTGTATAGTCTTTCTTGTGCTGTCTTGGACTCTGAACTAATTTAGTTTCCTAAAACAAAAATGTTCCCTTTTTTCACCCTTGGAACACTTTTCTTCTGTTTAATTGACTAAATTGGCTCAGTGAAGAGCACTAGAGCTGGCACAAGGGAATAGATAGAAGCCCTTACTGTTCTGACAATGGTAAGCCACTCATTGGTGTTCTGTCTTGTGAAACGGTAGCATTATACACTGGGGATGAAAGCTGAATTTTGGCCTGGAGAGCTTCAGCTCAGGGAGGAAAACATTCTAAATACTGTGATACTGCTAGCTTCTTCCCAAAATGTATTTTGTCATCTGTCTTTTCCTCCTATAGTTTCCTTCTCTCTTCTTGTTTTCAATGCTTTTTTTAATTTCATTTGATAGTGCTTCTCTTGCTCTTGACTTGTTCTTGTAATTTCTTTTCATTCCACACTTTACTCATAATATTTCAGTTGTCTGACACACCAGCTAATCCGTCTCTGTTGATTTGAGGGACAAAAGAAATTGTCCCAAATAAAGTCCACAATCACTGGAGATGCTAAAGTAATACTACCTTCTTACTGCATTCTTCATAGGTTAGTATTGCTTTTTAATAAACATGTTGAAATACACGCACTACCCAAACACTACATGTGTCAGATAAAGTCATCAGTGCCTTTTTGGGAAAGGGTTCTGGTGTAAGGCCTTGTTGCCTTTATTTTACAGACTGGGGAGCTGAGGACAAAGATGAGCCAGTCTCATGAAGACAGTTTAACAAGCGTGGCCTGGAATCCCGATGGGAAGCGTTTTGTAACGGGAGGTCAGCGTGGACAGTTCTACCAGTGTGTAAGTTCTCTGCCTCTGTCCCATTGAAGACAAAGCAAGAAATTAAATTTTGGTCAAATCTGAGGTTCGTGTTTTTTTCAGGTTTTTCATGTGTGTGTACACTAAAGCTTCCGATCCTTTGTAATTGAAAGAAGCAATACGTTAATGCAAGTATTTCAGCAGCACTTCTGTGTGTAGCAGTTCGAAGGGTTTGAGCATCTTTGGTCTGCCTAAAGGAGGATTTGTGGTGTGGGATTTTTTCTTAGCTCCTCCAGAAAATACACTAATAAAAAGTAGTGCCCTTGTCCACAAATGCTGTTTATTCCATAGAATTTTGACTACATCTTTCTTAGTTTTTGCATGCTGTCTTTGCTCGTGTAAACAGAAGTTTGAAACCCTCGTTATCTGAGTAGTGTTGATTTTGGATGGTGGTTCACCGTCTCACCCTGTTCTTGATTATTTGTCATCTGACTTGGTGCCCAGAATAATAGTGCAGTATGTAAAACCTCACTCACTGCAAAGGTCAGCTCAGTGACGTGGTGTAGATGGCACATGTCATGCACGAGAAAATAAGTGACAAAAGGGATTCTCAGCTCTGCGGGGCAGATTCCTACAAAAGCCCGCAGTTATGATAACCAAGTCCTCCCTTTTAAAGGGTAAGATTGCTTTCTGTAGCAATTGTTGTAACAGAAGGTGAAAAAGATATGTGTCACAACTCCTCAGAGATCTGACACTAATGTGTTTTTTTTTTTTTCTTGTTTGTGTCTTTTTTCCTCTTTTGATCAGGATTTAGATGGTAATCTCCTTGACTCCTGGGAAGGGGTGAGAGTACAATGCCTTTGGTGCTTGAGTGATGGGAAAACTGTTCTAGCGTCGGACACACACCAGCGAATTCGGGGTTATAATTTTGAGGATCTCACAGACAGGAACATGTAACTACTACCTCTTTCTTTGGTTTTGAATTCCTGCTTCTTAGTGTCAGAAGAGGATTGAGGAAGGATTTGGGGGGCAGCATTATTAAAATGCTCTCAGTATTTAAAGAAGACAAGAATAGCGTGGGACAAGAACTAGTGAGTAAGTTCCAGGAAGCAGCATTAGATCAAGTATTAGAAGTAAATTCCTAAGCACTAGAGTGGATGTTTTGACATTTCTGTCATCAAGAGTTGTAGTCCTCTCAGTTCCTGGCATTTTAGAGGATCCTGCCTTGAATTTAGGAGTTGGAGTTGGTGTCTGAAGTCTCTTTTGGTCTTGGGAGTTACCATAAATATAAGCAAGCTATTGCAGACCTGGCTTGTACTGATGTATAGAGACATACCTAATTTCAAATTCAGAATTGTCTTTTCCTGATAATATTTCAAATACAGGACATGCCTTTTACTTTGGTGTTGCATCGTTATCTGGTTACCTTGACACTCGTGTCTTATCATTTCAGAGTACAAGAAGATCACCCTATTATGTCGTTTACTATTTCAAAAAATGGCCGTTTAGCTTTGTTAAATGTAGCAACTCAGGTGAGTTGGTGATGTTGAATAGAAATGCAAATAAATCTTGCAAATGCAACCTGTTCTTAAATACTTCGATGTGAGTTGGGATATTTGATATTAAACAGTTGTATATTATGTAATATGAAGGCTTTAATATTCACTGGTAGAGCATGGAATTTTCTGAAAAGAAGCCAATCTCATTCTTGAGACTGAATTTTTTTTTTTTGATTCATGCTCAAGAGTTTCATATTGTGAAATATGTACTACTAAATGTTATTTAACTGGCTTTTGCCTCAAAAAGCCAGTACAGCAAGAATTGTGGCAGGTCAACACATCTAGGGGCATGAGAATTGGGTTACATTTATCTGGTTCTGCTTTTGGAACCTTGGATAAGAATAGGAACTTTCAGAATGGAAGGGACCAAAGGCTGAAAGTTCAGTGTTTTGATACATCTTTACTCTCTTTATCTAGTAACAGTACTGAGGTTGGCTCTGAACTAGTGTACTCTCATGTTTAATTTTTTTCTCATAGTTCAAAAAAATGCCATTAATAATGTTTATGATGAAATTCCTTATATTTATTATTTCCAGGGAGTTCACTTGTGGGACTTACAAGACAGAGTTTTAGTGAGAAAGTATCAAGGTGTTACACAAGGATTTTACACAATTCACTCATGTTTTGGAGGTCATAATGAAGATTTCATCGCGAGTGGTAGTGAAGGTAACACCATTCTCCCTTCTGCAGAAAACTGGAACACTCTATATCCTTCCTGTACCTTAATTTTGTAGATGACAAGTGCTAACAACAGTAAAAAAGCAAGCAAACTGGTTCATGAAATAAATTTGAGGCATGCTGAGATGGAGGCATACTTCAAGAAGAAATTGTGGGCTAGCAGAAGGAATCTTCTGAGAGGATGGTACTAGTAGAAAACATTAATGACTCTCTTGTGTTGCTCCTCTAAAGCAAAAGCATCTGCACAATTTTAATTAAAAGTAGGTGAGGTGTGCTTGAGGATTTTTCTTTTTGTGGTGTGATATTTAGACTTATGGTTTGAACAGAAAGTACTCCTGGGGAATAACAGCTTCATTTGCCTGTTGAAGGTACAGGTGTGGTGAGGTTATTTTAATTTCAGTAGTCATTCTAATTGCAGACAGGAGTCTCAAATTAAGCAGTTGTTGACGTAGTCTGGTAGGGTTTCTTGGTGATCAAAGGCTTTGTGGTACGTTTTTATTCAACTGTCTGTGGCAAGGGCAGAAATTTGTTAAAAGGTTTATATCTTGAATTGGTTCAGTTCTGTCACTATAGTGCCATCACCTGCCATGTAGGTCACTTAAAATTCAAGCTTATGCAGGACTAAGAATTACACTTGGAATATGTCAACAATCACTGTGAGTGCTATGTATCTTTAAGATGTTACAAAACGCTACTTTTTTTTTTTTTTTTGGAAAATACCAAATATGTCTAAAATAAAACCAAGTTTCACCCTCTGACCATAGGCAGGGGAATATGACTGAAGGACAGCACCTCCAGTCTTTCAGTCCAGTGTGAGCCTCTTTTGATAGTTGAACTTGGTTTGAGACCCAAGTACCCAAAAGTTCAGGATTTGTTTAGCCGTAACTATCTGTAGGTGTAGATACTGGAGTGCACCCGTCCTTTCCCCCCCATTTATTTACTCTTTATTATCTTCATTGTCTAAAAACTACTGAGCAGTAATTGAAACTGATGGTACTGTATCTACTTAGACTTGAACTGTTTGAAGCTCTTGCCTCGTTGTAGTGATTGTTGCAAATGTGATTACTGACAAAGTCTGTTTTAAAAAATAAGCGAACAAAAAATAACATCACATTGCCATAGTCTCTTTTAAAATAATTGATTAGATTGTAATACCTCTTAAAGCATATTGTCAGCTAGATAGGGGTTTTTCTTGCCATTGCATCAGTAGCAAGAAAATAGAGGTCTCTAAGAGGGGGATTGACTGCTGCCTTAGTGTAGCTAATTGTTTTTTCCAAACCAAAATACTGGTTTGTGTTTAGGCTTTGATTCTCCCAGACAGCAGAGGTCTGCGTGTCCTTACACTTGTCTGTGTAAGCAGAGTGTTGCTTGGTGTTGGTTGCATGGATATGGAGTCTCTTGCAATGGTTAAGTGGAATGTGAGCCCAGCCAGAACATTTGTGTCAATAGGAGTACATGTAAAGGTGGTACACTGCAGTGAGCTGCCTCAGCAGAAGACAGTTGTTACCACGTGGTTCCATGATGCTTTTCTAGCAGGTAGGTCAGAGAGCAAGTTGGCTTTATAGGGGTTGGGAGGAGGAATAGAGGAAGATTGGTTTGTTTGCAAACAGCCTTCAGAGTGACATCTACGTTAAAGCTTTTCAGAGAGGTTAAAATACTTCCATTTGATATGCTAGACCTGAATATCAGGCTTTTGTGTAATACTTGTAATACATACTCGTTCAGTTTGTGCAGCTCTGCTTGGAATATTCCACAGACATTACTAGACAGGTAAACCCACAGCCTTGTTACAGGGTGCTAGGCTACAGCTGGGAGACACTCCCACCCCCAATTTATTCTTAACTATGGTTGGCTATAAAGCAATAACACTTCTTTAAAAATTGCAGTAGAGTGTCTAACCAGTTTGCTGTTCTATTTCTAGGATGCTGCTAGAAGTAATTAAAAACTTTCCATCACAAAATAAATTCTGTCGGGTTGTTTATTGCATCTGCTTTAATACGTACAAATTGATATCTTTAAATACCACACCATAATTGTTAAAGACAGTAATAGCTCACAATTTGAGCCATTAAGTTTTGCCCTCCCTCCCTTGCTCTGTTTGTGCTTTCACTGGAGTGTTGCAGGGTTTAAGAGACATTTTTCATAAACTAGAGCTGTGTTCTTATCTAGCAGTCATCAATAGGAGGTGGTTATAAGGAGGCCTTAGTACTCATGACTTATAATACCTTCACTACTCTGTAAATATAATTATTTGAGGGGGGAAAAAATCTACAAGTCTTCCTTTTGAATAAGATTATGACTCCATACCTATAATTAGAGTAGCTTGGTTTCTCTCTTTAGCTGTATTGTGTTACTTGCATTGTAGTCAAATGTTTTTCTTCAAATACCTAGTGTAATAGACTTCAGCTGTTAATGGAAGAGCTTGACCTGTGTTCTTTTGACCACTTTTAGATTAAAAATTGTTAGTGCTATTGCAGACTTGGGACATGGGTTTTAGATGCAGGTTTTGCAACATTATTGAGAGCCGAGTTGCTGAGAGCTTGGGTGGAAGTGCTCTTTGATACCACCAATCAGTCTGTGCAGGACAGCGTTTCTCAGTCTCCTTTAAATGTGTGTTTGGTGTAGATCACAAAGTATACATCTGGCACAAGCGCAGTGAGCTGCCGATTGCGGAGCTGACAGGGCACACGCGTACAGTCAACTGTGTGAGCTGGAACCCGCAGATTCCATCCATGATGGCCAGCGCCTCCGACGATGGCACTGTTAGGATATGGGGACCAGCGCCTTTCGTAGACAACCAGGATATTGAAGGTAAAAACCTGCGTGTTTACTAAAAAAAAAGAAGTTAAATGGGTTTTTTGTTTGGTGTGGGTTTTTGGTTTGTGGGGTTTTTTGTGTGTGTGGGGGTTTTTTGTCTTTTGTGTTTTGTTTTTGTTTTTTTTTGTTTTTGTTTGGTTTTGCTTTGCTTTTTGCTTTGGTTTGTTTTTTAGTGTATGACTGATTTTTATCTGAATTCTCTATGCTGTGCAATAAAAAGGAAACAACTGGTATTTCTAAAATTATTCTGACGTGGCCCCATAGAAAACTGTAGTGTCACTAAGACCTCAGGATTATATTAACTTATTTATGCAGACATCTTAAAAATCTTGCCTCCAATGCTTGAGGTTTAATAACATAAAATGTTATTAAAATTTAAATAACGCATTCTGATCACAATGCAAGTTGAATAATGGTATTGTAATGCTTATGAAAGGCATCTCCAAAGTCTGGGGAGAGTGTGAAGTTTTCCCAGGAATATCTCTAAGAAATGGAACCTTTACTAACCATCAGCAATTACATGTGTCCAGGAGAGAGAGACAGTTCTCCCTTTTTTTGCTGCCAAATTGTGCTCGTGTTCCCAGCCCTTCTTGCCTCCCCCAGGGCTGTTAACGAGAGGACCGCTGGGGAGTTGTCCTGCAGTTTATATGAATCTCTCACTTCTTACTACAAGGTTAACATGTATTGGCAGTGGATATTAAAATGAAGTACAGTATATCCTATTGCCACAGGATGGAATGAATACTGGGTGTGGATACAAGTTCAAGAGGAACCTGGGCAGAGTAATCAAAAAAGAAATCCATTAAGTGCTACTAGAGAAGTAAACACCTCTAGTTCAGAATGTCCCCTAGGTAAAAACAGCTGAAAATTGGAAGGATATTAGGAGGAAGAATTTCCTCCTCTCCCTATACACACTTGTGCTTTCTGACACATCTGCTTCTAGTCTTGACCCAGGTGGACCAGCCTGGCTAATCTGTTTGTAACACCTGGAATGTACCTGTAAGGAGTCAGAGCCTGTGTTCCACTTGGTTTTGTTGTTTGGTTTTCTCTAGTTAGCTGCTTGCTCACTCTTTCTTAGTTCCTACAGAAAATGGACTAGTAAGTGCCATAAATACCAAAACAACAGAAAACAGATTTGACACAGCAATGCTTTTGCAAGAGGTGTAGGTGCACAGGGTAATACCTAACAACTTCAGAATCTTAAATGGATGGCAAGACAGCTTTGTAATTAGAACACCCCCTTAGAATGCAAATGTGTTACTTCTTTTTGGAACAGAGGCTTTTTTGAGTACCCACACCTAACATGCTAAATTAATTTCTAGATTGATATGAATAACTCTACCTAAAATAAGTAATTTTTAGCATGGAATTTAGCTACAGTAAGAGATCCATTAACCTAATGCATGTTCAGTAAAATCTATGTAAATACACGGTACCTGTAATTACATTATAATTACCTTATAATAGAAATGTTAAGTATTGCTAAGATCTTCAAGCTGTGATTTCTTTCTCTTTATGTTTTTGTTTTGCTCAGAGGAATGCAGTAGCATGGATAGTTGATGGCGAATTTGGAGCAGACGACTTCAGTTTAACTTAATTAGTCGTATTTTAAATGGCTTGGGATTTGGTGCAAACAAACATGATTGATAGCTGGACAGACATGCTCGTCATGAAAAAGAACCATTTCTGAAGCCCGGTTGGGGCCAAACATTTACCACCTTGCTTCATAGTAACCAGTCGAGATGAAGCACGTCCTTAGAACTTTGTTGGACACCGTGTTGAAATTACCCCCCCATCGGTTGTGAAGAACTGTGCTACATTCAGGCTAACCATTGAACTCAGTATATATATTTTTCCCTCCTGCCTTTTTGTCTGGCAGGCTACTGTTCTTGTTGCTCTTCTGTGTAATGAAGTTTAAATGCTTGTTTGGAACACTTTATTTAACAGTTTAGAAGGCTTGATAGAAAGAGTGCTTTAGTCTGAAGAGTATACATTGGATAGGAAAGTATTTCCTTCTCTTGTTTCTCAAGTCTCTCTCCGCCTTACTTAGCTTGAGATCTTTGCAGCTTGGTTCATGGATTCTAGCCTTGCCCGTTGCGCAGTATATATATAAATTGAGATGATAAACCAATGAACTATGTCAAAAGCACTCTCAGTATCACATTTGACAAAAAGTTTTGTACTTTTCACATAGCTCGTTGCCCTGCAAAGGGGTTAACAGCACAATTTTTTAAAAATAAATTATTTATAGGATTAAAATGACTTCATTTGTATACATTTGGAATTAAAACAATGCAAGAAGTGTCATGAAACACGGTATCACTGATGCTTTTCTGGAGTGTCTTGAGACCCAATCAGAAGCAGTGGCTGGAAGGAGCTTTATGTAGGCAGTGAAGCTTGTTTTAGATGGAGGAACTCACTGTCCGTCTTAACAGATACATTGTATTATTTAGGAAAAAAAAAAGGCGTTCAGACTGCACCACCAGACTAAGTTTAAACAAGAAAGGGTATTTTTTTTTCTAATTACATAAATATATGCAACAATGCTGTTGTAAAAGGTAGACTACACTTCAAGGGAAGAATGTGTTGAAAGGTCCTTTCTTCACAAAGTCAACATTTTGTATAAGTAATTAACATACAAATCATAATTAAACACTTGTATTACAATGGAAATTTTTCTTTATTTGATAAACAGAGGTGTATAGATTTCTGTGTTGAGAATATACTTTTAAGTTTGTGGATTTAAATGCCTCTCCCAGACCTTGTTGCAAGCTGGTGCTGTAAACAACTTGACACATCTAGGAATAGTTCCACTAATATCCCATGATAAGGAAAAAACCAAAAACGTTTATAATTTAAATATTTATTCTTTTTGGTGTAAACAGATGGCCTGGCATCTCTGTGCTTCTGCACTACACACAAATTCATTATGGAATGGCACTGGATTCCCTTTTGCCACCGTGAGTGGAAAGGTAGTGTTGGTACTGCTGTGAAGTAAAGAAGGAGCAGGGAAGGGCACGCCATGCAGTCTTGTGAACAGAGGTGTGGACATCATCCTTTAATGAGATAATAATCTAGTGTTCTTAGTAGTCATGTGTGGAAGAAGGATGGGGGAAGGTTTCCTGAAATTCCTGGGAAAAGAAGTGTAGCCACTTTGAATGGGAACGTGGTATTTCCCAGAAAACCAAAGTGAAGGTTAGCAGGTTAGATTTTTTTTTTCTTTTTAGATTCCAGCCATCAGGTGGTTGGTGTTTTTCTTGCCTTGTGTGCAAACTTAAGTGTGAGTTAAGATTCTGATACTATGGTTGAGACCAGCCCCAAATCTGACCTTAGTCTTTCAGTACCTCCAAAACCAGGTAGGAACTTAATGTTCTTATCTTCAGTCTACAGTACACCAGCCTTAAAGTTAAGGTGAGTGCTTTGATAGCAATTACTGTTCCACAGTACTGGGAATACATATGTGAATTTGAGACTATAAATCATTTCCTCCTTCCATTAATTACTTCTGGAGGAAGCTCTTTGTTTTTCTTCCTAGTTCAGACAGTGCAGGATTAGTCAGGCTTGTTCCTGCGATGGTGGTGTTGCAGGGAAGGAGACAAGTTCCTAAGATCGAATTTGAGTAAGCTAAACCTTTGGGTTTTAAAGAAAAATTAACTACCTGAATTGTAAACAGTGTTTTACATGTTCAAAACGTGGTATAATTCATAAGCAATGCCAGTATGCGGATCTTTGGAAGTTATTCTAGTATTGTCTTACTCTGGAGCTTACGCTTTCAAACCAAACATTGTTTAGAGAGAGTAAAGAGAGTAATGGTTTTGATGTCTCTTAATAATGTCTCATACAATGGTCTGGCACTACTTGCTTATCTCATACTCATGGGAATAAGGTGGGAACTCTAGGCAGGTGGTGAAGGCTGGATCAAATTTCAAGTGGAGATTTAAAGTCTCGTATGTACTTCAAGAGGCATTTTTAATGTGGCGGTTGTAACTAATCAGAGCGAGACTCCTTACCTGGCACGAGCTGTGTGGGAGGGTGCGTGTGCTGGTGCCTGGATTCCACTGCAATGCAATTAGAAATTTAAACCTAGTACTTCTGCCCAAATACTGCCTGTCTCTTCTGGATTTGGGTTGCACCCATAAAGGACACTTCAGGTATTAAGAAGCAGAGTTAGGGAGAGGCACATGTTCCGATCCCTCTCCTTTAGTGTCGTGGTGCAGCCGTGCCATGTAAAGGAAAGCTCCATGCAGATGGCACTGCTTCCAGAGTGTCTCAGTCCCAGCGTGTTGCGTCGCTGTCCATGCCTCACGGGTGGTGAGCAGAGAGGAGAGGAAGGTGAGACTCATCTGCATTTTGCCACACTACTCGGTCCCATGGCAAACTGCCGTCATAGGTGTAGCACCAATGACTACCATTCCAACCTGGAGATGAAAGAGGAACCTAAACTATTTCTAACACATCACATATTCGCAGTATGTGAATTGAAAAGTACCAACACTTTTTGTGCACAGACTGTAAAATGAGACTGGGGTGGGGTGGGGGAAAAAAAACCCAAACAAGTTTGCTCGTTTGCAGCACGTTGATTTCCATGTGCTTAAAAATGTTCATAGGCTGGAGTGTAAGGCTGGAACAAGTACACACCCACAATAAATTACTGTATTTCTAGTCAACAGACCGATGGTTTTAGAGAGGAAAATACTGTAAGTGTGTACTCATTTTGTACCTTTCTCTGATCACCTGTTGGCTTAAAATATTCACAGTAGCCCCAGGTTATTACCAAGGCAGATCTTGGGGAAAAAAAAGAAGTGCTGAAGCATTTTATTATCTGAATGTTCTTTAGCTGTTCAGGTAAGTAATTTTCAAGGCACAATGGAGCACAAAAGGGAAAATGGTAGCTGTGTTCTTGTTTTGGAGGGGAGGGTAGTGGGGGAAATGACACCTTTTGTTTTTAAATTCCCTCTGTCTTTATTCTAAAGTTCTCCAACTTTAAAGTTAACCTCTCTTTATGATTGGAGCAAAGACGCAAGCTAGAAATCTACCCAGATCTTGCCAGTTACTTCTCAACTTGGCTTCAAACAGGTAATGTTTAATAAAACTCCGTATGCTGTTGGGAGTTGGTGCCTAGTTGTGAACTTCTACACTGCTAAGGGATGCTCCCACCCAAAGTCAGTTTTAAAGGCTTCCTTAGCAGGAAAGCAGGACTCAAACATTTAGCTGTAGCGTGAGGGGATATGTTGTAGACCCAAATGGGGAGGGAGGTAGAGAGAGAAGAATGGATGTAAAAAGCAGGATTTACTGAGCAACAGACAAACTACTGTAACTCAAGGGGGAGGAGGAAAAATGCACTTTCAATAGTTTGTCCATATTTTTAGCTACAAAGTACACTTGTATCTGATTTTATTTTTTTTGAGACGACTATTAAAAGGAACACCCATCCCATAAATGGCTAATCCTCCTTTTGACCTCCTCCTGTCTTTTCCACATTGGCTTGAGTCCATTTTCAACTGCCATACTTAATTTTGAAAACTGCTACTTTTAACGATGTTGAGAAAGAAAAATCATTAACTATGACACTTTTTTTAAACAGGGTGGACTTAATTGAAGTGTGCAGTGTTGAACTACTGCTGCAGTAGCTGCCTCTAGTTGTTGAAATAAACTGTAGACAAGTTTTCTGTCAATTAATCCAGATAATCTGGATTCAGTAAAACATCTGTGAGAGTGTTCCTCCCATCTGGTATGAATGTGTGTGTGCATGTGTTCCATGAACAGACAGAGAACCAAATGTTCTAGGTACTTGTCATGTTTTATTGCATACTTTAAGTCGTGTGTATGTGAAGTGTCCTTTGACCAGAAGGTTTTGGTTAATATCAGTATATTTTTATAAATTTGAAATTCATTGTGCCCCATCTTTTTTCTTAAACATTTTTCATTCTTAGGGTATATGTGCTAGATTTGAAACTTAACATTTTTAGGCACAGATGGAAAAAGTTATTGGCTCCTTGAAAACATATGGGACAAAATGGATCCTCAAAGCATGTATGTACTTACAAACCAAGCTGTAGAGATCAAGAAAAGAACTTTATTGTTGATCTCAAGATTTCTAAATTGTCAAGATTTATATGGAGTTGTGGTGGAACTAGTTAACACTTAGAGCTTTTGGTATGTAATGACTATTTGCTATGGACTGATATTAAATGTTTCAAAGGATTGCGTTCTTAAACTTTCTGGATTTTTGTTACTCTCCTCGGATATTATTAAGTAGTTAAAATTTCTTTGCTATATTACATTAAAAACATAAGAACTTTGGGTCTCGTATTTATTTTCACTTGTTTTACTAATTATTTACAGAACACCGTTTTAACTTTTTTATTTTATAAATGTGTAGTATTTTAAACATATCTTTAAAAAAATTGTTCAATTGGAACTACATTAACTTCTGATTTGTTTTTATTAGGATTTTTAAAAAGAAAAAAACAAAAACAACACTTTTTCCATGTTGGTGCACAGCACTTAACAGAAATGTTTGTATTCCCTTTCAATTCAATAAACAATAAATAACTGGAATGAATAGTTCTTAGTTTCCCTAACTTCACTTATATAACTGACTTTGGATGTTAATTTCTTGATCATTAATTATAGATTTCTTCCATATTCCTAGTATTTCACTTCCTCGCTAGGAAAATTAACTTTTGGCCTTTGAGCAGAAGATGAGTCAGTCAGTGCTGTGTGCAGGCTTGGCAGTGTCTGACATCAGGCTCTAACCCACCCACCTCACGCTTGTGTTTTCACTGGACATTCAGCAGTCGACTTGCTCGTGTCCCAGTCTGTGCTCATCTCCCTTGTTGAACACCTGCTCCTTTGAGGCTCTGTGAAATCCATGATTCCTTAATGCTGGAGCTTGCCTAAATACTGGATGCAGGTTGCTTTAGGTGACTGGTGGGTTGTGTGGGTTTTTTTGATACTTCATTATTAAGAAGGTGCTCTTAAAGCACTTGTATCTCCTGCCTTTGTTCCCTCCAGCTAACTCCGTGTTCTTGTCCCTCCTCCCTGTGCCTGAAAACAGAACCTCATCTTTATCCTGCACTTCCATTCAGCTGTAGCTTATTTCTGTTAAATAAAAAGTTGTACCTCAATTTTCACTCCCTGTAGCTTTTCCAAATTCAAACATCTTGCTGAAGTGCATTCAATTTTTTAATTCTTTGCCCTTACGTATTGACTAGAAAAGATCTTTCCTCCTTCTAGTAGCATCTGTTTATTAACTTTATTCTCTCCCTTACAGTTTAGGCAATGTGTAGATAATTAGGGCTTAAATGCAGCTGCCAGCAGAAGGGGCATGCCTTACTCCTCTCCATGTCCTGCTTTGTGCCACTTCTCTTGGGTACTGGTATTTGCAGGAAGGTTGTTGGATTGCAGACCCTCTTAAGCCATAAATGCCACAGATGAAGGAAGTTACTGACAAACCCAGCCAAAAACTGTGCTTCATCTGCTGTCCTTCATCTGCCTTTATTGGGTCAGATGACTGCAAGAGAAGCGGGGAAATGAATTCTACAGCCCTGTGACATTTCAGTATTTGTAAGATTAAACATTAACTGCTGTGGTTTGGGTTTCTTGTTTGGGTTTGGCTTTTTTAATCCTTCAGATTATTAAAAAGAAATTACATAAAGAACTTGAGAGTAGATGTGCCTTTCATAATTAGCTTAAATCCAAACTCTGTCTGAGGCAGGGTACTTACCCTACACCTTGGTTTATGCTCTCTGTGCTGCCCGATGTGCCTCTCTGCACATTTTGCTTATCCTTAGGCTGTCAGCTCATCAGAGATGGCAATCCCAGTTGTGTCCTCACTTTAAGAGATCTGTAATGCTCTGAAGAGGAACCAGTGAGGTTTGTATGGCTCTAACGTTTCTGCCTAAGATCAGGGGTGAATGTACTGGTAACTTCATGGTGGATCACATATATAGCCCACGTTTTCCTGTCGCTACCTCCAGTGCCCATCATACCGTTATTATACTTGGGAAGCAAAAATGGTCTTCTGCCACTTGTGCAAAATTCTAGAGAGCTTCTTGTGAGAGGAGTAGAATTAGAATAAAGCTTTGACAATCCTGAACAGATAAAGATTTGCTTTTATGGGTTTATCAGGGTTTCAGGTTGATTGTTAACCTGCACTGAGAACTGTTCTTAGGGCTACTGCTCATACCAGTGATGTACTGTGATCCATGAAACAGAACTACTGCAGGAAAAAGAACAGGTACTAGGAAGAGGAGGCAAGTATATTCTTTAACAAACTAGGCTAACCAACACTCTGTAACTGAAATGATTAATTAGGAGGAAACATGCAATTGTACCTATTTTAACTAACCCCCCAAATGCAGAACTCTAATGGCTATCTAATCTCTCTGAAAACTGATGAGTGACTGTCATCTTCACAAGCTGACCAGGCTCTAGACTGTGGTGAGGAAAAAAATAATCTGTTAAAAGTTAGAATCCCTGCAGGCCAACTTCAGTGTTTTCATGGATTAAGAGCTTTCTGTAAATCATGGTTAATCATCTGAAGGGTAAGTTGGTGGTTCCCCCATGAAGTTATACTCGGATACCTCAGTTCCAAAGGGAAACACAGTCTGGGGAGTGAGTAGGAAGGGATCTGTGTTTGGTGTCACACCCATTTATGGTAAAAGATGAATTTTTATTAAAAATTGGTCCAAAGTTTCTAATTGTCTTGAATTCTGTATAATAAGCTTGTATTTAAATTACCCTGTTCTCCCTTGTGGGAGACCCAGAAAAGAGGGATTTTTTTTCATTTATTTTTACTACCATAAAATTTCAGTGCTCTGTGGATCTCCCAGGACGGAGATGACTGAGAATCCCTATTTCTATCTAATGAACCACAGTTTTAGCAATTACAAATATATTTTTGCTGTTGCTGACACTGAAGAACTCTGCTGAGGCAGGAAAGGACCCTGTACAATAATAATAATAATAATGGCCAGTCTTCGCGAGCGAAGATCTGGGGAAGGTCTTTCCACCTTCCAGCCTGCGCATTGGATTTTTTAGGTGAGACACAGTGTGCGCGGAACTGAGCCCACCCTTTAATCCTAAGGTTCATCTGCCGGGGCCAAGCGAGCTTGGACAGTGGCAGTGAGGTCCTTAGGACGTAGATGGGTTGCCTTTAAGGGCTAACGAGCCCCACCTGCCCGGGAGTGGCCCTGACCGGGAATCGAACCCGGGTCTCGGCGGTGACAGCGCCGCGCCCTTACCACTAGACCACCAGGGGCTCCAAAGAAGGCTTTGAAATTACCAGTGGAATTACTCAGCAGAACTGTAGTCTGTGAAACCTGCTACCAAGGTTTTTGCAACTATTATAATCAGTTGGTAGATATAAATGAACAGAGAATTTATTTATATTAAAAAATTGAGGTGGGAAGTTTGCATTCATATAAAAGTAGAGATTGTTTAATATTTGACAACCTCCACTTAGAAAACATATCTTTTTTTTTTGTTGGTCTGTCATGGTTAATAATTCACTCTTGAGGAAGTAGGGAGGAATCCACAATAACATCCCTCTAGATCAGGGCATACACATGCTATCTATATTTTTTTTTTTTTTTACCTCAGATATGTTATTTTCCCTTATCCTTCTCTGTCCTGCTCCCATCACTGAACAAATGCTTCGCTCAGTAGGGAATAGAAGCCTTTCATAGGGAGTGATAAATTTCACCAGTTCCCTCAGGGAATGGATCTACTCTATCTAAACGTCATCCCTGCAGGTCTGAGGTGCTTGTAGTTGGAAATCTTCAGAGACAATGTATCATACAAACACTTTCATTAATAATAAAGCTCTTACCTCAAAATCATGTCTTCAGAGTAAGATATACAGCTGCTAGTTTAAATGATGGACTTACAGGTTAGTGTTCATGTCTCTCAGTGTGAAACATGAATGAAATACCTACTGTCAGCACTACAGCAAGGACCTGACAGTAGCAGCTTATCCACACTATCCTTTCTTCTGACAGATAGCACCCAAAACGTGTGCAGTATGTTTTCCTCACACATGCATAAAATTATTTAATTGCCTGCCACATAAACTGCTACAAAAGTTACTTTCTACTGTTTGAGTTTTACTTGCTCTCCTTTTCCCAGAGTGCCATCCTGTCTGGGTTTCAGCTTTACAGGGCAGTACTTTCTGTAGCTTGATTTCTGTTGTGTAAAGTAGTCAGTGGCACACAGCTGGGGTAGCTGTTTCCTTAGTTATTTTTTAATGAGCATGATTTTCAGCAGGTTTTCATCTTTACAACAGCTGAACTTGGACTCCATCCATCATAAATTTAAAGCCAAACTTTTCCTAGAACAAACACTGAACGCAAGGTATCTACAGAAGTCAAGCCTCAGAGTTGTCTTTTTCATTGCTGGCCATGAAAACAACCCGTTAATTACAGCTGTGCACTAAAAAAACAAGCACTTAAGAAAAAAAAAGCTCATAAATTTTAGGACATAATTACAGAAGTGTACTTTTAAAGTGTTTTAATTCATGTGTTTGTTTCAAGAGACCTATTTCCAAGCACATATAAAAAAATTTAAAGACAGTTATTGGACAGTGAGGGTACAAACTCAGGTTTATACACTTATCACTGAGGCAAGAGCTGCACAAAAAGAACTGAGTTTGCTGGTATCATTGAAGCAGAGTCACATCAGAATTGGGATAAATGGTGTTATGGTTTACCAGACCATTTCCCTGAGCTAGACATACTCTTGGTTCACCTCACTGGATGTGGAAACAGCAGGTTCAGGGAGTAGCAACTGCAAAGAGTCTTTTGCTCTGTAACCAGCTCCAACCAGCAAGATGATATTTACTGTATGTGAAGGTCTGTGATGTACTTCAATGACAAGATAGGAGTTGAAAGGAAAAAGCAGGTATTAATCATGTTTCTTACTTATGTTTTTCACTCTTACATACAAGTGTCACTTCCACCAAAGGGATCTTAATCCATCCAAACACAAGACTTCACATAGGTTGTTGGAGGGAGGGGTGAAAAAGGAGAAAAGCATAACTTTTATTCCATTATTTTTTACCTGGAAAAAACACTGACACAAAGATGCAAGCTGTGCTACTGTTCCACTTTGAAATCTGTGTTCAGGCACTGCTTCAAACTGGGCTCGAGTAGGACAGCTTGACAGCCAGAGGCACATGCTGACACCTTTCAGTAAGAAGTAAACACCAGAGCTGCACTTAAATTTGTTCTGGAACTACCATCAATACCAGCCCATGCTGCTGAAATGAGTTTTCCTTCTCACCCATTTAATTCCTGCAAGGTCAGTTCTGTAAGCAAGGATTGCATCTTGCAGAAACAGCAACTCCAGCAGTTTGGGTTGTAAAGGAACAAAAACAACCGCTACACAAATCCAATGTCTTTTGAAAATATTTTATGTTAAAAATACAGAAAAATATTTCTTGTTCAAAGAGGAAAAATATACTGCATGACGACACTGATCTAGGTGTGTTCGGAAGGTGTCTGAGGCTCCACAACCAGTCACTGGAGTGATGACCCAATTTGGCAGCTAATGGTTCTTTTTCAACTTCTCAATCATTTATCAAAGCCAGAATCATACTGTGACAAAACAGAAAACATGATACCAGTGGATTACTGAAGCATGTGCAAGCAGGAACAGCTATTGCTGTCATGAGAGAGCTGCACTTGAGCCCGAAATAGAAGTTAAGGCAACTGCTGTGTGCTTTGCCTATGAGGACATGAGCTGCAAAAGTGATATTGCTGCAGAGTAACAGTAGCTCTCCCATCTTGCAGTAAGTGGCCCCATCACAGAACTCATCCGTCTGTAACTCAGATCAACTTTATTTTTTAAAACAGAACTTGTAAAATAAAGTTGGTCCTCAAGATTATTTCCATTCCAAATAGGCCACTTACTGTAGGTGTTGAAAACATGTAACTCTTTATATCGTACTTGTAGTGGTTTAGAGATTACCGAGTAGTCTGAGTTTCCAAACACTGTCTGATCAGAAAGACTAAAGGTATATAATGAGCCCACAGAGAGCTGTCAAAATATATTACTGAGGCTTAGCAGGATGCAAAAGATGAGACAAGAATACCAGCAATTACACCGGAAGAATAGAGGAGATAAAAATAGCTGGCAGACAATTCCTTTGTTCCTTGGGAGCAATTTTTGAAACTAACCTGTAAAGGTACATGAAGAAACAGAGCAGATGAAAGCCCAGTTTAATCATGGCTTCTTTCATGTGTGATTTCAGTTGTCCTCGGTTATGGATCTCTGTGGGATCAAATACTCCCATGTTTCCACTTGGCACCATAATGTACCTGAAAGTTTAAGAATAAAGAAAAAAAACACCACACAACAAAACCCAAAAATGTAGTTATTGAAACATTAGGGAGTGTCAGGAGAAGGAGAGGGGGACAGCTTGCCCAGAAGAGACTTCCATCTAAAGAGTTTTTTCATGATTCAAGGTATGGGAGTTCTTTATTAATTCTATTTCAGTTTCAGGATATTGCATGTATCTCTGCCTCTACAACCCACAAACAAGAATAGGAGGACAAGAAGTACTAAAAGCATCAGCCTGGCTTCCCATGTATAAACAGGAGAGATTCAGGTAATAGCCAGTTCATTTTAATTGCTGTTCACGGTTACTTGCTGTCATGGAGAAAACATCCACCCACAGTGGAAAGATGCATGAGATGAAAAGGACTGGAAAAGACTCCATTTAGCTAAGAATTAGTGATTTATTTAGCAAAAAACCCTCACATAGATAATCACAAAGTCTGGTTGTCAAAATGAGATGGTGTAAGACAAGACAAAGGATCTGTGTATTCCTGCCTTTGTGACAGCCATCCTGTCATATCTCAGCACTGACACTGAGGATGAGAGGCTGGGCAGAACTGAAGAAGTTCTGCTGCCCAAACCCACACAGGAACAAAAGTTGAGTGAAACCAAGTGAAACATAAGGAAAGAAAGAATATAATTGGAAAATCCAATGTTTACGTCCTGGGAAAATTCAGCAAGCACCATGTTCATTTGTCACAAGCATTTCTCAAGGGAAAGCACAAGAAGTTCTCACTCCAGCTGAGCTCAAGCTAGAGCAGTACTTCTATTTCATTGAGATGTCACACAGTCTTTACCTTCCTGGATTAATACTCTTTCTATAAGGGAATTTAATTCCTTATGGAGCCAAAAAAAGTGGTCTCAGAACAGAAGACTGATTTTCTTTATGTACTCGAGTGGCAACACTTGTACTCCAAAAGGCACTTCCCCACCTCTTACAATATTCATTTCAATAATATGAGCAGAAGAAAGGGAATAAGAAACAAAGATATCTTCTAGTGGCAGTACAAGACTGGAAAAAAACCATTAAAACCACAGTATATGTGCTTCACACAGAGGTGTCCCATTAAAAATAGTTCATGTGAACAAATTCCAGTTTGAAATTCTCTTCCAAATTTGAAGTGATAAAGGATTGTTCTATTTTTAGTATTATAACAGAAATTACTGTCTGTTTACTGGGAATGGAATGCATTTAATTCAAATAAAAGGAAGAACACAAATTTCCTGTACCAATTTCTCCTAGAAATAGGGTGCATAATTTTCTTATGTGTCTAGCATATGACTGCCACAAAGGCAGCACCTATTAATTTTGCTCTTTAGGAAGAATGGTAACAAATTTTGCAACTTAATTGCAGAAGCTGTGAGGTATTTTTTCCTAGAGGCCCACAGCTTATATTATCTAGCTAAGGAAACTAGTCATGGATATAATGATGCTAATGCTGACAAACCCAACTCAAGGCAGTGGTCATACTCTAAACTGGAAAGAAAACTTCTACAGCAGACATGAAAACTGTCAGCTTTAATGGAAACACACACTACTGCCTTTAGGATTTCCATTCAGTGGAAGCTGCTCCCACAGCAACAGGACACTTCCCTCTAGATTACACAGTTTTTAAAGGGATGTAGAAGTTCTGGTCAGAATTTTGCCTGCATTTTTAAGAGTATATTTTTTTTACTTTTTCAGTTTTAAGATGAGTATTATCTACTTAAAGACATGGTAAGAATCATATTATTTGGACCTATTCTCTCAAGATTTATATAACAAAGCAAAAACAAAAAAATTTGAACACTTCCCTAAGAGTTTTAAAACAAGGAGAGTGCAAGACAAAACTGTCTCAATTGAGACACTACAAAATTAATAAAAAAAAACCCCAAATTAAATGATCATCTGAGTATGTTGAACAAGAATGGCCAGCAGGATGCTACAATAAACATGTTGCAAAGTCTCCCTTGATGCTGTTTTTGACCGATTTATCCTTCCCAGGATTTATTTCTAAAGCCCCTTTCGCACAAAACCTCTCTCCTCCAACTGAAATCCTTGAGATATTTAGGAAATTAGGCAAGTACTGCCATTTACTCATTGAGATTAGGCAGATTTTGAAGAGAAGTGAATGACAGGAAGAGATTATCCTACCTTTATCACTTTTACTACAAAGCACAGACTGCTTCAATCTCAACACAATTATTTTTATTTCTGTAGTCATTTTGGAATAGACAATAAACTTCAACCCTTCTGAATTTGTGTGCAGAAATACTGTAACACACCGAGAAGATGTAGAAACATTTAGCCAGATGTTTGCAGCTCATGCTAACGGGTTCACATTTCATCTGTTCCCACTTGAGCTGACTTTAACTGACACCTTCTCTCTTCAGGGTATTCCAGCTACTTTACAGTCCACCATTTTCTGACTACCATCTCTCTCATCCATTGAACACTGGGTCAAATGTATGTTCTATCCCAAATCTTCAGATTTCCTTTATAATCATAAAATGGTTTTGGGTCAAGGGATCTTAATGATCACTATGTTCCAACCCTGCTGCCATCGGCAAGGACACCTTCCACTAGGCCAGGGTGCTCAAAGCTCCACCAACCTGGCACTGAACACTTCAGGGATGAGGCATCCACAACTTCTATGGGCAACCTGTGCCAGTGCCTCACCACCCTCACAGAAAACAATTTCTTCCTTATATCTAACCTCAATTTCCTCTCTTTTAGTTTGAATCTATTATTCCTTGTCCTATCACTACAGCTCCTGATGAACTGGTAAGGCTAAACACCACACCTGCTTTTGCAGATCTCTAATTCCTTCATTATAGATGGGATAATCCAGGCTATTAGTGTGAGTGAAACTCCTCAATCCACAGAAGGCAGGCAGGATTAGTGATATAGGCTTAACATTTTGATTTCCTGTGGCAGGACAGGCGAAGTATCATATTGTCAAATTCAGTTATTGCCTACACTGCACATCTGAACTTGAGGAAACAATCCTGGAGTTTAGGATGTACAGAATATTAATGACAAATATAAAAGGAGAGCTGTCAATACAAAACAGCAGTCAAAGCTTATTGCATGAAGTGTGGAAATAGAAATAATTTATCTTTGAAAATTTACTCTAAGAGCGTTTAGAAGGGAAAGCAAGGTGCTACTTTAAAAATTAACATAAATACACAAAATGAAGCAGCAACAGGGTAACCAGTAAAAGAAATCTTCAAAGCTTCGAAGAAAATCCATTCTCTCTCCAGTGTCTGCAGAAACAGCATTGCCTAAATGAAACTCCAAAGTTGCCAGCAGATACCAGACCAAATACTGGTCACTTTGTGTAACAGTTGTACATACGGGTGACCAAAAAAAATAGGCAAAAACATGCCCTGTGTGTGTGCATTTAGGCAACATTTGTTTATTAAGCACAAAGTTATACTGTCTTATGTTGCTCCATCTTAGAAACATTTGAAGGCTTTGCTGGCATTCCACAGGAAACAAGGGTTTTGAATGCATGGCTATTTTGCCCATGAACAGCCAGGTTATCAGTACAGAGATACTCAACTTAGTTCTGATGGGAGCTGTGAAACTTCTTGTTTAATTTTACCAGTGACTCAACCCACCCCTGCAAATAGTTAACCCTAACAGGTTCAGGCAAACAAGAATTACAGCCAGCTTTTCCTACCTGTACCTTAAACTTTTTTACTCCCATAGCATAGTGTTTAGAGATAATTTCAGACAAAATCACACCCAGTTTTCATTAGTTAAACACCTGCAAGGGTCAGTTCTCCAAACATCAGATGACACGAGATAAAAAGAATGTTTTTTGAACTCACAGTTCCAGTGTTGCCACACGGAAACCCCTACTGATAACTAAACCATTTCCAAGGGGTGGCAGCCCAGGGGACAAAGACCAGGAACACTGACAGCTGTCCTAGGATGAAAAGTCTACAAACCTTTTCCAAATACGAAGAGGTGGGATGAGGGAACAAAACCAGTGCAGATGAGAGTGAGAGACAAGCCGGTGAATGCAGGAGGGTGTGGGGGACAACACCCCAGCCGAGTGGTTTTACAACCATCAGCCTTGCTGACCTCAGCACTTTTATGCTGATATCACTATCACATGTAGGTACAGCATGAAAAACATTAACAACTCTGTCTGCAGAGTTGTACTGTCTGCAGTACTACTTCATAATCCCAATTAATATGCTATTATTTCCTATGGACTTGGGAATGACCCACAAATCAAGATTCCTGGGCACAGGGGATAATGAAAGGAAAGGCCAAAAGTTTCTTATCCTTTACACTGTTGGGTTTCTTATAGTTTTAATGGCAAGAAGAGGTTTTATGTTAGTTTGATCAATGAAGAGTAGTAGCAGCTCAAGAACACAACTGAAACATCTCATCATGACAAATTCTTTATCCTTGTACTACACTTAAAGCTAAACTAGTAACAGTGGGGGGAAAAAAAAGGCACACAAACCCCCGTGCACTTACCTATATATATTCCATGTTGCTACTGGCAAATTAAGGAGAAAGATGAACCAGTGCAATGAAATAAGCATTAATACTGTCACAACAGCATGGCCAATCACCTCAGGGACCACCCACTGTAAAAAAGCAAAAGAAAAGAGTTATATACACAGATGTAAATTCCTTCCTGAAACAGAGATCTATATGGAGTTATCATCTCATTCTAATCACGCAAAACTCAGAGAGAAACATTCGTGGCAGAGGCATGTGATTGCATCCACAGTGTGGAGAAATTAATACCTTCAGGTAGATTCCAGGCAAGTAAGCCAGAAATCAAGCCCTAAGATACTATAACAGAAGTGCTTTATCCAAGTATTACAAGCACTTCCAGAGAACATCACAGCATTGTGATGTTTAAACACAAATGCATTACACAAGCACTTAAAAAAATCGAGTTTAAAAGTATACAGTGCTCATTTGAAGTCACTGCAGAGAACAGTGGATTTAGGAACATAGATAATTAAAATCTGCACAGACACAGGATGTACAAACAACCTCAGGCTTGGAACAGATAAAAAAGTTGATCAATATGAAAACTGGCATAGTTAAATTGGGTCAGCCCCTAACAATTACACATTTTTGGCTTGAGAGGACCCTGTACCTTTCTCTCTTACATTAACAAAAAAATACCTGTAACTCCAAGTGAACACACCTGCATGGGAAGGCCACACTGATTTAATGCAAACAGTTTTAAGTAGATTTGTTAAAAATGGTACTTTTCCTTATCACAGTAAAACTCTACTGTTCAAGGCAGGTTAGAAATTACACAGAAACATCAGAGAAAGTTGCTGTGAAGACCTCAGAGTTCAGTCATGAGTAGACACCCTTGGTGTGGCCCACCTACAAGAACCAAAGCACAGAACTCAAGAGCTCTGTGAAGCATTAACTCTCAGTCCCACCAGTTTAGGCAGCAGCCCATCCTGCAGCACCAGGGGTCAGAACAACAGCCTTTTGTGACTGAATTTCCTGAAAAATGGGCACCCAAAAGAAACAGGCAGGCTGAAATAAAGGATGTATGCAAAACACTGCCAGCCAAGGCTCTCCAGGTTTACGTTACACTCCACTTATTTGCGATGCCGAGATGAAGGATGTGGTTTCCCCAAACCACATTAAATGCAGTGAAGAACAATTTACTTTATTGAGCTTGGAGCAGCACGATCGAGCGTTGATGTAGTCACATTCCAAATCTGATAGTGTGATTATCTGAGGTCCGAGATAAGGAAACATTGCATGTAACTGGGAATACACAAAGATTTATTTTTAGCCAGTAAACTGGGGAGAACCCTCTTGCTTTCACTGCAGACATCTTGTTCCATGTTCATCTGGTAAAGACATATTTCAATTAATTACAACTCAACTCCTGTGTTAGATAGAAAGCTTGGCTACATTTTATCATCAGGCCAAGTGATTTTATTATATTTTCCCCAAGGGCAACTGTTGCACAAATGCTAAAGTTCAGTTCAACCCTTACAACAAGCCAGGGAGGCAAACTCAGTAATTTTAGTAAAAGATTTAATAATACAACCCTTGAAGCCAGAACTTAAAAGTAACAAAAAGTTAATGCACTTTTTAAACTCTTCTCACAATAAAGCTAAATAATGTGGTTTCAAGAAGTGAATCTACTTTTTTTTAACACTTACAGCAACGCTGGATTAATTAATACTTCATTAGGCAATAAGAGAGTAACATCATTATTGAATGAACTTTCAGCAACTAAATTACGAATATTTTGGACAGAAAAGTCCTCTCAAAAAGGCTCAGGATGCACGTATGCACATCATCACACTATATCCTGTAAAGACATGGTCCTTTTCTCCAAGGAAATTAACACAATTTTTTATATTCCTAAAAATACAGGTGAAAGCTTTTTATTTTTCACCAAATAATCAACCTATCCTTCTTCTAGGCTGAATTTTTTTTTTCCAAGCGCTTCTGTACTTCTTTCTGCTAGAAGCGGGTAGACTCTGAAATAGCACCAGGATTGAAAGAGGTGTAAAAGCCAATTCGCTTTTACCGACAAACATAGAGAAAATTAAGTCAAATCTGTGCCTCTACATTGCAACAGCGCCAGGCAGCGAAGGCTGCGGGCGGGTCTCTTCTTTGTTAAAGAAGATGGAAATCCTGTTTGTCGAGGAACTCGGAGCGCCACAGCCCGGAGCCCACGCCTAAGGCAGGGCAAGGCACCCTCGGAATTCGAACCCTGTTGCGCGGCCGCGCTTTTTTAGGCCCGTGCGGTTCCCGAGGGCCGGCGCCAGCCCCGCTCCCTGTGCTCCCACAGCTCCCTGTGCTCCCACAGCCCCCCCGCTCCAGGAGCCCAACGTGCTCCGGGCACCGAATCCCGCGGCGCTTTCCCGCAGCCGGGCGCTCCCGGCTCCGCAGATCCCCCGCTCCAGGGGGCTGCACCCCGGCCCTCCGAACCGCGGCCATGCCCCGGCGCAGCCCCCCGCCCCGCCGCCCTCAGCCCGCCGGCCCCGGCCCGCCCCCGCGCCCCATCCCCGCCCGCCCCCAGAGGAGCAGGATGCGAAGTAGACGGAGAGGAAGATGAGGGCGCAGCAGTCGATCAGCGAGAAGATGAAAACCACCGACTCCATCCCGCCGCCGCGCCCGCCGCCCCGCGGCCCTCCCGGCCGCCGTAGGACCCGCCCCGCCCGGGCGGGCCCGGCCGCGGGGCCCGCTGGGAAATGGAGTCCCCGGCTCGGGGGGCCATGAGGAGCCGGCCCGGCCGCGCCATCGACCCGCGGCTCAAGCAGCGCGTCAAGCAGGTACCGCCCGCCCCACGGGCACCCCCGGCAGCGGCCACGGCCACGGCCACGGCACTGGCGGCGGGAGGGGGGGGGACTCGCGTGTCCCACGCCCGCTGAGGGGCCTTGAGCATCCGGCCCGCTCAGGGCCTGGAGGGGACCAAAGCCCGGCCTTACCTCCCAGAGCTTTTAAATAGGCATTAGAAAGGTCTATTTGTTTGTTTGATGGGGTGTTTTTATTTGGGTGGGGTTTTTTATATAATTTATTTTCTGTTATTTCGTTTTATTTTCGCGCATCTTTTCGTCCTCTTCGGTATTTCTGATCCTGAAGGTGGCTGCTGCTTCAAGCGTGCAATAAGTAGTGCAAAGAAAATACACTCAGAGTGTATAGAGATGTATAAATGTACCGTATGTGTGTATATATATGTATAAATATGTACATATGTAGGTATATGTGCATATGTGTTGTGTGCATATATATGTATATACATGAAGTGTATATATGTATGTGTGTGTACATATATATATGGGTATTAATAGGAATTTCCTCACAGAAGGGGTGATTAGACATTGGAGTGGGCTTCCCGGGGAGGTGGTGGAGTCCCTGGAGGTGTTTAAGGAAAGACTGGATGTGGCACTTGGTGCCATGGTCTATTTGACATGATGGTGTTGGGTCACAGGTTGGTCTTGATGATTTCAGGGGTGTTTTCCCACCAATTTGATACTGCGATTCTGTGATGTGGGCAAGTTTTAAGTGTTTGCGTTTGGAAACATGTAGAGCAGTTATATTAAATAGCTGAATAAAAGGGGAAAATAAAATTAATTCCCTAGTACGTGTGTGAAGAGCAGGGAAAACAGTGATTCCTTCAAGTGGCACAGCGCTGTGTTACGTCTTATGATAATCTCTGGTGACTTTGCAAGTTAAACACCATTTTTTTGAGCCTCTGTATTAGCGTACTCCACTTCTAATTCCTTAAAATGCAACTGGCTGCTTGAGGGAACTCGCTTGGTTTAATTTACAAGATCACAGTGACTGTGAGTATTCTGAAGTGGTAAAGCCTTTTTATGGTAGGCTTGATGTTTCCTGCAGGGCAATAGCTGATGTGAAGTTTAACATCATTTTAAAAGATACCTCTGTATTCAATTTAATTGTTTTAAATAGAGTTATTAATTTAAATGAAGTTTTGAAATTCTCCTCATTGTGACATCTGTGATACCATGTCTTGTAGGGAGATTCTCTGTTTTCTTTTCTCCTTTTTAAGAAGGAATTGTTCTTTACAGTATCAGAACTCCTTCTCACTCCCAATTTGGAGAGCGGGCAAAGAGAGTGAATGGAGTATGTGGAATTTTGTACATTTTCTTACACTTTCATAACTGTAGTTTGAAAACGGGTTGGAGTAGCTGCTATCATAACAATAGAAAGGCTTGACAGAATTCACTTTTGTTAATACACTTTCCTGTAGTATTCCTTGAAACATCTTGTAAAGAATTAAGTTCTCGTTACAACAGCATTCATGCTGATTGATATAGATGGTTTCATTTTTAGGGTAGGAGATTTAAACCAAAAGGAGGTTAGCTGAGAGGAACCAAGAACTTTAGGATTGACAATAGGATGCTGTGTGGGCTCCAAAGTCAACTTTCTTACTAAATAAAAGCATTGGAGTTGAGCCAGCCCCTAAAGTCCCAAAATGAAGGATACTGCCCTTTCTGGGGAATCAGAGCTACCTGTTATCTGTCATTTAATAAGCATTTCTCATTTCCTTGGGAAATACTTTCTGATGTGTTGCAAGGCAGTGAAAAGCTGTTTCTGATTTTCATTTTGAACTTCCTAAGAAGAGTAGAGTTTGAAAAAGGCATATGTTGTCTAGCTGTTCTGGGGAAGTGATTAACAAGGACTTTGTTCTCTGCTTAAAATTCTTCGTTTCAGTATCTTGCAAGCAGTAAATGTGGGCAGTATGTTGACATTGGAGTTCTAGCATCTGATTTGCAGAAAACCTACAGGTGAGCCAAGATTTGTGTTCTTACATTCTGTATTTAAAATATTAGATTATTATTTTTTTACATTCGTGCATTTTTAATTAAAAAATTTTAAATTTTGTTACATTAACTTCCTTGCCAGTTGTCGAGGTTGACTGAAACAGTTAAGGTCATTTCCCCTTCAGGTTTCCCTTTGCTGAAATATCTAGTAACACATATCTTATTAATGCACTGGAATTACAAGACCTACTTGTGGGTTGATTTTTTTGTTTGTTTGTTTTAAATAAACAGCTAAAGATGCATGGCAGCCTGCTGGACTTTACCCCAGTGAGCTTAAAATATGAGGGGAGAATAACTCTTCAGTACAGGACTCAACAAGACATTATTATCTTGCACGGTTGCTCAGCAGGACAGTCAGTATTGTCTAATTATTTTTAGGCCATCACACTTGTTTGGGTAGGGAGCAAGGTTGTGTTTCAGCACATCACTGGTGGGGATTAATGAAGAAGTGTATTCACTCATGTTTGTGTGCTCTGTTTATATGTGCCTTGTTAGATAAAATGAGCCAAACTCAATTGCTTAATAGATTATGGATCTTAGGGTTTTGTTTTACCTCTGTTGGCTGTTGTATTAAAGCAAGTTAGTAAAACACACCTTCAATAAGTGAAGGTAAAAGGTTGATGGTTTTTGCTTGCATTTAAGGATACTCTTGAATCGGAATTTTTCATAGTGACCGTTATTAATTAACACAGTTATTTCTTACTGGACTGTCCTTTCTAGACTAAAGTCCTGTGCCCATATGTTCACGTTTGCATTAAAATTAAAATATTGTTAATGTTGTGAAATAGAATCCAGTGTGCTCATTTGTACATTGCTGCTTCTCTGTATCTACAGTTAAAGAGGACCTTGATCATTTTTACTAAATATTCTCTTAGAGACCAGCATAGTTTAGTGGTTTGGTTTCATCCCAGTAACTGAGCTATTCCAGTCTTAAATAAAAATAATCATTTTTTCACACGGTTGGTTTTTAATAAGAAGTTGTGTGGAAGCTTGGGTATTAACTTACCATGTATTTTTTCCCCTGAGAATGACAATATGTTGAGGGGGAAAATCAGTTGGTGTAACCTGTTTATTTTGGTTTTCTTTTTCAGTGCAGAATATGGACGAAGAAAAAGAAACGCCTTTAGAATACAAGTTGCAAGAGGTAGTTCCGTTAGTGTTGTGCCCAAGATGCCAAATTCTTTGATTATGCTTTGACTGTTTTCTTAAATGTTTGAACTTTTTCTTTCAGTGTTTGGAATAATCAGTAATGAAAAACAGCGTGAGGATTTAGCAGCTTTAGAAGCTGAACATGTGGCAAAAAGAGCGCGACAAGAGAAAAATGAGTAAGACGAGTTTTTACCAGTAGATTAATAATGCCTTTAGTGTTATCATGTCTTTAAAGCTTTCTGTCTTGGTATTATTAAATTTTGGTAGTTTCAAGGTTACAGGTTGTCCCACAGGCTTGTCTTCTTCAGAAGTTACCTGTATTTATTGGAATCACTTCTGTCCCTGAAGACAAGCAGATACTAGAGCTAATCATGATTTCTCTGTTATGGGGAACATACAGCCCTGAATTAGTGGATACCTTGGGGCTTCTTGGATAGTTTTCCACACAAGGCCTCAGTTCCCATGGGATTCAGTACCTTTGTTCTGTTTTGTTCTTAATCTTTCTTGGGCGTGAGAGATATTATCTACATCTGAGAGATAAGACTGCAAGACAGGATGTTCTGAGTAAATCGCCAGTGGGAATGACATTGGAATTGGGATTTTCTGACTCCTAAACTTGGCATAGTCTCATGGACTTCTGGTTTCTCTAACTTGTGGTAGATATTAAGGATCTTGTGGGAAATTAGAACAGTGTTGTCAGAAGGACTAGTCTAGTTCAGCAGTGATTTACTACTACTTCCCTTGTGCCAGCATTGGTGATTGTGTGATCTCGTGGTGAACTGAGTCAGAGTGATCCTACATCGCCTTTTTTTAAGACTCTCTTTCAGCCAAGCTGACGAGTCGATCCAATTCATCACAGACTTGGAAAGGATGCATTTTTAACTCTTAAAAGTAGAACATTGGAAACATGCAAGTCAGGAATTTCTCTCCAGCCTTAGACTGCCTGTCATAGTTGTGGGGAGCCACGTTGTTGAAATTGCATTTGTTTTATTTTATGGATGTCTCGCTTGCAGTTCTACTCTGATAATCATGGGCTTTTTGTCTTCCTTCCATGTAAAGGACTATTGGAAGTACCACAGATGACTCTGATTATGATGATTATCCAGAAGATCTAGTAAGTTGTGTTTGATTATGTTTGTATTTGCATAATATACGATTCTATGTTGTGAAAGTGCACTTGGAGAATTTAAAAGTGGAGATAAAAGAGGAGGTGTAGTCAAAGTTGACAATTCCAGCTGAGAATCTGGAGAGCTGAAAGGAGATTGAATTCTGAAGGAATAGGAAGAACCTGAGGTGGGGAATTACTTTTGAGGAAGGCACGCTGGGGGCCTGAAAGACTTAGCTAATGAATGAAGTGATTAAAGGAACCGTCTACTACGAAACTACTACGGAAAGAGGTGCCTGCCAATTAACAGGGTTCGTTTCAGGGTGAATTGCAAAGGCTGTTGCCCGTTCAACCACCACATGTAGTTTTATATGCTGTCATTTGATTTGCAGAGGAGTGTGTTGGGAGATGCATGCCTCTTTTCTCCAGCAGGGATAATGCTGAGTTATGTTTATGAACAGTTTTTGTTGGCCTCTTACTATAAATAATCTGTCCCGTATATTTTCTTTTCAAATGTGTGACTCTGCAGTCTACAAATCACATGAACAGTTCCCTGCTGAGCTTATATAAGAAAGGAAATCCCGATTCTGTTCCAAG